ATGAGCTATACTTTCGTTTAAAAAACTTTATCTGTTTCTTTTTAGGATTTTTGAAAACTGGAGCAGATGCTTTAAAGTTTCTTGGAAATTTTTGAGCTTTTTGAGGATTTCCATTAAAAATCGAAGAAAACGTTGCTGTAAAAACTTGTAACTCATTCAAACCTTTGCCAAATCTTTATATTTCCTCGTAACCTTCGATCAGTTGTGCTACCCCAGAAGAAACTACCCAAATGTCCGAAAAAAGAGTGGGACCGCACGTGTTGGACCTCTGCCCATCCCGAGGCAGTTTTTCCGCGCAGCTGCAGAACCATTTGCCATTTTTTCTCCCAATTTCCACTTGGGTTTTTTCTTCCGGTCGTTACCCGTCATTTATGTCATCCCTTCAGTCCACTTGACTTTCCTTGGCTTTCCGGTTTTGAAAATATCAATCTCAGTTTCCGGAAAACTACTGTGAATTTGAAAGTTCGTAAGCTGAAGACTGTGATTCTTCTCTCGAATTTTTTGAATTTTTTTGAGAACATCATGGTATTTTCGAACCGAAAAACTGTTGAATCTAAATATTATTGAAACGACTAGAAAAGGTAAAAGAAACTATAAATTTCGATTAGAAACTCTGGTGGAAGCTCGAAATTCATTTTTTTTTACCTTTTATTGTAAATTTACACAAATTAATTTGAATGCCGGCCAAATTCTACTTTGTTGTATATTTTTATTTCAATTCGCGCCTTTTGTGCATTTCTACCATGAGCAAATAAAGTAGAAACGTTTCAAAAAAAGTTGAAAATAACCCGAAATCCTCCAAAATAAAGAAAAATAGCAAATTGCCATGTAACTTTTTGCACTCAGTAGTTTTAAGTTTTCAATATTGGATTTAAAGTAACGGTCTTTATTTTCACTTTTATGTCTCAAAAAGTTTTTCTAAAAAATCATATCAAATATGTCCGAAAAGAATGGACACGCCCTTATTTTCCCTTGTTTGTACCTTTTTCGGGCTCCTGCGCCGGAATAACCGAGCAGCCTCCCCATATAAGGTCAGCTGGATGGTTTTCCAAGTGATTTAGTGTCCTTCCATGGACTCATTATCTTCTTTCTTCCTGTTTTATGGACCTGATTTCGGCGTATGTCGCTCATTGTTTCATTTTGTTCATTTTGTGTGAAATTCCTCTTCCGATTTTGTATTCATGGCTTACTGTAGGAATTTCTGCGTTTTGATCCGCTCGAAAAAAGTTTGCTCAGGATTTTTTTGTATGGCAAATAGGAAAAAAATGCTCGATTTATTTTTTTAATATTTTTTTATTGAGGTCCACTTTTTTTCCAGTGAGATGAAAAAAAGGATTAGAATGAGATTTTTCAAACAGTAAAAAAAGAAACTGGATCGGATTTAGCTTCATTTTTCAATTATTTTTTTCTCCGAGAAGAGCAGGAAAGTCGTTTGGAAAAAAATCTTATTGAAAATATCTCACTCTCTACTTTTTCTAAAAAAATTTTTTTGGTTCACAATATCTTCTTTTAAAAATGTTTTTCCGAGGCCTTAAATTACTTTTTGAGCAATCGGACTGTGATTTTTTCATAAATTTTGATAAAAATAAATAAGTTCGGAAACAGATATATATAAAAGAGATTTTTGATGATTGACCGCCGGAAAAAGCGAGCCAGCCTGAGTCCGAGAGCCGGAGCAGATCAATCAAAAAAAGAAAAGGGAAGAATGATCGAAAGGGTTAGATCTCGTCGTACGATTGTCCTCAACGGAGCACCATTGCGCCATCCTTTTCGGCCCGGAAAGTCAAAAAATAACAACAAAAAAGGACTCGAACCAAATGTAAATGGCAGTTCTAAAGCAATAAAGCCGGATCGGAACCTTTTCATCTTTTTTTTTCGCGCGTTTTTGATGGAAATTTGTTTTGGCATTTTCCCGCAAAAATACCTGCCATAACTGGAAATAAGCATATAGCAGTGTTTGGACCTTATTCTCGAAATTTGTGGTGAAATAAATATTTTTAAAACAAGAGGAATCTCAAACTTCCATATATTTTCTAATTGCTCAAAGCTCAAAATTTCTATGGCTTTTCTAGGTTTTTCGAACTCAGGTTTGAAACCGCACCTTCATCTTTTTCTGTTTCCAAAAGGGTTTCACTAGAAATTTTCTCTAAAAATCTTATAAATCTGAATTCTCAGGTTCGATACCTCTCAGGGTCACATGTTTTTTGCCATTTTTTTCCAACTTTCCATCGAGTTTTGGTGATAGGTCAGCTTTTTCATCACCTCTCTTCTCATCACAAATAGTTTTACTAGAACCTTTTCCTACACAAAAAACTCGAAAAAGTCCGAACCCAAACTCTTTGGTTCAATCCCTCTGCGTGTCAATTATTTTTTGCCATTTTTTCAACCCTATTGAAAAGTCATAAACAAAGATTGGAATTTTAAATACTTTTTTTCTGCCAGAATAGTTTTACCAGAACCTTCTTCTACACAAAAAACCCTCCTTTGTGTATTCATAGGCAAATCGTTTGAAACTGGTAAACGATTTATGGGAAAGCCCGTTTTCCATTTCACATAGTTATTCATTTCAAAATACCCTACATCAAAAAAAGGTGTTTGACAATGAAATCAACTTCAAAAAACTGAGTCATTCCATCATTTTCCCAGGTTCTACTGCAAAAAGGTGGGCGTGGCCAAATGATGCCTCCAGGGAGCGGAAGTTCTTCTTGAAATTCCGATAAAAAGCCCTGATAAATGGATGTTTTTGGCATTTCTGTACGATTTTTTGATGAATTATGACCCTCGTGACTCTCTCGGCTTTGATTTTGGAAGGAACGAAAAAAAAAGATCTTGGAATTTTCTGAAGCGTCATATTTTTAAGTTCTGTCGAGGATTTTTATTAGAAAAAATGGTTGAAATTTGTTTTTTTCTGTCTTGTCTTCGATTTCTTAAATCATTAAGCCTTTTTATTTTTTTCGACAAAAAAACTTCTGGACTTTCCTTCTTTAACCGAAAAAAAGTTTTTTTCGAAATCTTTACTCCTGGTGAAATTTTATTATCAGAAGCTTATTAAAGATTTTTTTCGGATGTATATCTGTTTTGTTTCTTTATTGAAACCGAAATCCAACTTTTTCACACGTGGAATGTCTCAAAGCGTCGCGGTCGCATAGCGGCTTTTTTCTAGGATCATTTCGAAACTCAATAACTTGTTCTAATGCTTACCGATGCCACCGCGCAAGTCGTTTCCAGTCGGATGAGCCTTCTTTTTCTGCCTAGCCATTCCATGTGCGACCATGTTTTATAACCCGAACTTTTGCTTTCAAGAAAAGATACTTGCCCTTTCAGTTGCGTTATCTTTATGATTTCAAAATTGGCCAAGGTTCTTAAAATTTTTATGTTCCCACCGTCTTCCAATATTTGTCACTACTGCGTCATACCTAATTCCGTCGATTTGAATTTTGCTCTTTTTTGAACTCTGATAATCTTTTCAAAACCGATTTTTTCTCGATTTTTTTCAGAAAACTTCAGAAAGCTCCGTTTTTCCCCATTTTGTTTCAGACCGAGTTTCCAATTGTTGAACTTGAGCGTTCCAAGAAATCTTGGAATATTTTCAAGCGAGACGAAAATATTCGCAAGTTTATATACAGAATGTTGCGCGATGTGGCCACACACACATGTTCGTTCTTCATTTGTTTTCTTCGTCGATTTTGCTTCTGAAATCGCTGCAAAAGTATATCTGTTTTGAATATCTTGGAAATTAGTTCGAAAATTTTGGTTATTTCCGAAAAGAGCGGTTTAAAAAAAGAAGAAGGTTTTTTCAATAGGTGTTAAACTTCCATTTTTAAATCATCCGATCCTTAGAAAATTTAAAACTCCTTTCCTGTAGCATTCCAAAAACTATAAGTTCGTTTATCCTTTTTTTATAAATAAAAAAATATTAAAACAAACGACCTGTCTTAAATAATCGCAGAAGAGACGTAAGTGAACTTAGAAAAGTCTTTCTCGAATATTTATGAAAGAATAACTTTGCCATAACATGCATCTATGCGTACAAAAATTGTCTGATTTTCAGAAAGATTCTAAAGCGTTTTTTTCTATGAAATTCAAGCTTTCTGTGATTAATCGGCCTTTCAAAAAATGAGGTACACTTTATATTCCTTCAAAATTCACCAAACTTTCGGTGAATCAACAATAAATGTTGCAATTTCCTCCCAAAGTTTTGACTTCTTATCTCGTTCCTCGGGTGCTGCTATTTAATGACTCCATCGATAATACTGTGATTATTGGCACGGAACCACGGCCGAAGGCGTAAAAGTCCAGGTGGCCCCCGAGATTAAAAATAGGCACTATTTGCATAGTAGTAATTGGAACAAAGGCAGGAGCGCGAAAGACGAACAAGAGTGAAGAAAAATCGAGTGTTGCGCAAATATTCGGCTGTTTTTTCGTTCCTTGAGTTATCCGGTATTGTTTCAACTCGGGAAAATCTCTAGGCTGTTCGGCTTCGGCTTTGAGATCAACCGTGTTCCTGGTTAAATACTTTTTTCATTCTCGACTCTTGTTCCAACAGCTTTCAACTAAAACTCCCCATTCTCATTCTTTCATTTTTCGTTCATCTGCACTTGGAATGGCTTAAAGTGTCCTTGTTGCGTTCGGGTGAGATTCGGCCCGCAAAAACATCCCTTAAAGCATTTTAATGCCTTAAAGCGCAAGTCGTTTCAAGTCCGACGCGTCGAGCCATTACATGTGCGACTATGATGCCATTCTCAACTTTTCATCCTAATTTGACTCCTTGGCTTCAAGATTCTTAGAGCTCTCCGAAAATATTGGAAAAACAGCCGCTTTGAACTTTAGCTTTTTTCGCACTCCGGACGATTACGAGCATTTAAAATGATCACTTAAGTAGGCACTCTTAAGTTATCACTAGAAATGCTTAGTAGAGTCCGGTTTGCGTGTTTCGAACATGTGTCAGTAATTGAAAAAGTGAGTTGGTGAAACTATTAAGGACCTTTCCAGATGCGGTAATGCGGTGGGGAGTGTGGGCGCTGGTCTGGCTGCTCTGCCTGGTCGAATTTTCGGCCGCCGGCTGCTTCCAACGACGGCTCTGTTGCCGCGGCCGCAACAACACGTGCAAAGTCCTTTTTTCTCATAAAATTATCACACTCAAAAGTTTAGTATTGATTTCAAAACATTTTGGAAAATTTCAGGACATAGACGATGGAATCGAACACGTGCCGACGGTCGCCACCTTTCACAATGAGCAAAAGCAGACGTCGCATAGGTTTTTCAGAATTTTATGACAAAAAGTGAATATTTGAAGAACGGGAGAGCGAGAATATCACACGCCGTACTACGAATCTTCAGGCGACGGCTTCCAAATGATCTATCCAGATGTGAGAAAAAAAACTTTCCTCAATAGTCCATTCATCGTGACTTGAAACTGTCTGATATGTCTGCGTCTCTTGTATATCATTGGCTAGGTCATAGAAAAGGGGAAATAGCACGTAAAAAGGAGAGATTCGACCAGGGAAAGAAATCATACTATTCAATCGTTCAAGAAAGAAATAATTTAAAACTTTTTTGTTTACTTTTCAGGATCTTGATGATCGGAAAAACGATGGTTAAAAAGCCTTTGACCTATTAGCTTTTTCGCTTCATGGCTAAAATTAGATATGACTTCCCGGACCTTGGTAACGCGAACCGGACGTGTTGGGGCATTTCTAGTGACCACTTAAGTAGCATTAGCACTCCTAAGTGAACACTAGAATCGTTCACAAACGTCCGGTTTTCGTTACCAAGATCAGAGGTGTTCGTTTTCTTTAATTCGACTTGTTCGCTCCATGACTAAAATCAGATTTTGTGCTCAAACTGGTAAAGTTCGAATGGATTATTTCGTTCCTGTAGCAAAAACTCCAACAAAAACAGCCGTTTTTTTAGATTTAGAAAAAAAATTGATAGTTTATGTCTACTTTTTCATTTGAACTTCGGACCGAAACTTTTTAAGAATGATTTTTGAAGCAACGTATCCGTAATTCTTGACGACTTCAAAACTACGATGAGCATAACTTATTTTTTTTTCCCATTTTTCAGGTTTTCGATGATGAGCATAACCAAAAGATTGGAAAACTAGTTTTGCCGGATATCGTAGAAATGGAAGGTTCCGGCGGCGAGGATCTCTACAATAGATATGGTTTCCCAAACTTTTCTGTCGGATCGATCGAATCCTTGATAATTCAGGCCATGAAGTCGTGACGCTGTCGACGCAGCTGCCGCCGACGACGCCAGCCCGACTTCTGAAGACGTTGATTTTCGGAGAAAAGACGAATCCGGACGAGGAGCCGGAGGAAATCTCGCGGTACCTGTCCTACCATCCGCGTCCCAAACATCTCCTCATCCGGTTTGCCGTTGAAACTAACATTCTGTCGTTTTTTTTGAGATTATTTTTGGAAAAGGTTGGATGAAAGGGAGACTTGAAATTTAAATTTTTTTGGAAAAAAAGTTATTAAAAGTATTTACAACATGGGATGGCTCGATGCACAGGCGAAGTTTTTTCGAGAGGGGCTGACTTGAAACGACTTGCGCCCGGTAGCATCAAAGCATGCCGGCTGAATCATTAACTCGGCTAGAAAACGAATTAAGACCGCAACGCGACCGCGAGGCTTCGAGCCATTCCAACAGCGACAAAGAAGTTTCAAGTCATGGGAAACTGAGCATCAAGGCGTTTTTGTTTCAGGAGATTCTTCTCAAATTTTTCTTGCAGTTATCGAAATGTGTTATGAAAGAAAATTTCAGAGCAGTTTTTTTAAACTTTAAAAACTTTCGAACAGTTTCTCTTTTTTTCGTTTACAAATTTTTTTCGAAACAGACTCTAACGTTTCGATTTTTGGGTAAAAATTTGGAAAAATTTGAAAAAATTGATGTTCCAATATTTTTCTTTTTTATATCGCCAAACCTGCGATTTCGTTCCATTTGAGAGCTTGAAACATAACTAAAAAAACATAGAAGCAAATCAAACTTTTTTCCCGTTTTCGGGTTTCTGTCATCTTCGTGTAATATATAAAATGGTCCAGCTAGGCACGAAAAATGAAATTTTGGACTGGTTTTCAATCAATTTGAGCCTAAAATCTCATTCATTACAAGATTTTGAATTGATTATTCAGACAAGGAAAAAAGTGAGTTTCGAAGTGTCCATGTACTACTATGGTTTTCTCGATTTACTTAACATGTTTTTTTATTGAAGTTATACTGTCCGTCCTGTTCATTCAAATGATGTTTTTAATAACAGTTCTGAGAAATTAAAATTTTCATGTCCTAATCAATATTTGGCTTTTTTCTAGCATAAGAAGAGAAAAAGAGTAATTATTGTACGGAAGAGGGTTCAGGTACTCGATTTTGTCGCAGCACCTGCCTCTGAGGATCTCGACGACGCCAGACACGTCGATGATGTCGGAGGAGGACGAATCGGAGCGCCCGACCCTGTACTACTTGGAGGCGGCCAAGGCCGAATGCTACTGCGACGAGGCCTGCATCGCCCTCGGCGACTGCTGCTCCGACTACACCTACGTCTGTCCTCGTAAGTTTCTTCTTCATTCACTTGAATTTGACTCGCGAGGTCAAAATTTTTCAAAAAATTGTTTATTTAGCTCGAGATTGTGTTGTTGGCGATTGGGGATCCTGGTCAGGATGCTCGGCCGACCAAGGCTCCTGTGGAATTGGAACTCAGAAGAGGTATGGTAACCGTACCATGAGAATCAAAATTATTTTCTCAGAACCCGTTCCGAGGTGATACCGCAGGAAAGAGGCGGCCTTTGCGTGTCCACCTCTTGCAGAGATGCGGACTTGCTTCGTCGAATGCCGGAAGCCGAAATCAGCTCTGGATGGTCTGTTTTGAATAGGGAATTGTTAGATCAGAGTGATTTTTGAAGAATACTTTGTTCATCAGATAGAGCTATTTTTCGTGGTTCTGCGTTAAAAGTTGCAGAAGTCTGTCAAGAAAATAACTAGTTTTACATTTCGTTCTTCTAAACATCCATTTATTAAAATATTCACGAAAAGAAAAAAGTTTTGACCTAGTGTCGAGAACACCTTTTTCAAACGGTCTTCATTTTTCCTGATTGTTCGAACTTATAATAAGCGAACGCAATTTTGATAATAGTTATAAAAAATGTATTTTTCGAGAGAGTGAAGATTTTTTGCTTTTTCTGCAGTTGTAAAAAGAGGCGTGGCTTCAACCTAGCTATATTAAAAAATTCGATTTTATACAAAAATCTCGATTTACCATCCAAGATGAGGACAATAAAAGATTCTATTCAAAACTTAGCAATCATAAATCCTTCACAGACCTCTCTGATGGGTTCTACTGCGAAACAAGTACAAAAAACTGCAATTAGTCAACCTATTCTCACTGTGAATTGGGACCACTCCCTGATGTTCCAGTTTTGTTCAAAAGCCTTTTCCAGACGTGACAACAGTAGCACTGCTCCTGGACTACAAGTACAACACGACGAGATCAAATCGAGGCAGGAATAATATCTACTGGGACCTGCCTGAAGTCGCCGCCAAGTACCGACGAGCATCATAGTGAGCTTCAAGACTGAGAAAATGAAAACAAGAGGAAAATTTGAAGCTACTGCGTGCACTACAAGATCTCTTGGGTCAACCGGAACTGCGTCTCGAGACTAATCGCCAAGGGACTTTTGACCGGCAGTACAATCTGCGCCGAGTGTCAGCCGGAAGCTCAGCTGCATCGGAACAACGCCAGGTTGGTCCTGGAGATGTTCAACTCCATAATCGTGGTGAACAGATGCGCGTCGGACCTCGACGACGGCGACGAGGGATTCTGGAAGCTGATCGGCCCGCAGTCGTGCAACGGCATCTGGACACGGATAAACAGGACCGACGACTGTCATTGTGCCGCAAATTATCCGGAAACACATCCTTTCCTGCTAGTTTGATTATTTTGCAAAGAGAGATCACTTTAGTGGTACGCGATTTGCCATGAATGGACTTTTCGCTCGATTAATTGAGAATTGAACCGAAAAGGTCGCATTTTGTCGTTGAAAAGTCTATTTCTTTTTTGAATTAAATTTAAAACGATTTTTTCGAAATTTTCCATGTCTCTAAAAACTTCATTTTCCGTTTTCAAATCGTTTCAAGCCAAAATGATCGAAATTCTCAAGTATGATCTTTTCGAGTCGGTTCCCAACTTATCAAAGATCGATTGAGAGAATTTTCAGAAAAATCATAACTAGAATGACCATAAATCTCAACTTTTTCCTTTTTCAACTTCTGAAGTTTTTTTTTCTGTTCTAAATCCCGGTTTTCAAAGAAACTTCAGGTTTTAATCACGGCAAAAGATATATGAGTATAGCTAGAAATTTGAAAAAGAAGAGGAATCACGTTTTCGTGAACAAATAATGGCTCAAATTCATCAGAAACGCTTGCCCGGGCCGTGGTAACGCGAAACGGACGCGAATCGGACGTGTCGGGGCAATTCTAGTGACCGCTTTAGTGGCGTCCAAACCCTCAAGTGATCCCTAGAATCGGTCAGGAAGGTCCGGAGCGCGTCCGTTTTTCATTACCGAGGCCCGAGAAACAAAGAAGGAAATATTTGCAATAGAGCGCACAAGTTTTAAAGGAAAAAATTTTCGATGATTTTTCAAAAAGTTCTTGAGTATGGTTCAAAGTCATATATCTACTGCCAAGATAGGTAAAGATTCGTATTTCCCTAATTGCCAGCCTCTCCATTACTGAACGATTGTTATCGGGTCATTTGTATACCAGTTCTGCAAATATTTCAGAAATCTTTATTCTAATGAAATTTTGAAAAAGTTTCTTTCGAAATTTCAAACTATTTGTTGGGATTTTCAAAGGCGCATGAGACCTCGAAAAAAAAACACAACATAAAAAACGTCTCTTCGCATCGAGATCATTAAAAGCTCGCCTATGCGCCTTTGAAAATCTCAGCAAGTATTTTTGAACACGTAATTCTCTTTTCTTTGTATAATTACGCCTGTATTGTTTCCTTGTCGCTTATAATCAATGATTGCATAATTTCCCATGTTTCAGGAATGTCCCAGAATTTCTTGAACTTTTTTCAAGTTTCACTGCCTTTTTGTCATTGCCCAGTACACTTAAAAATGTCCAGCCTATTGCTTAAAATTGCCTAAGACCATATTCGGTGATCTGCATTTATTGCTTTCTTTTAAAGTTTTACGCCAATTTTGGTGAATAAAAGCTATCAAAATACAATAAATTCTGACGAAAGAGAGATCCTTGAAGGGAAAGTATTCTGAATTATTAAAGTCAAGTTTATAAAAAAAGCTTTTACATTATTCAACCGACAGCAAAAAAAAGGAAAAGAAAAAGGCAAAAAAAGATAAGAATTCATAGTAAGTCCACTTTTTCCTATAAATTCGGCAGTCGTGCCAGGACCACCCTCTTCCTTCAAATTCACGTTACTATTGAAATTTGAAACCAACTGAAATTGAACCAAGTATCTTCTTTTTCATTGAACCGATTTCGAACTTCAAAATTTCTGAATTATGCCGTTTATGACGAGTTAAACAAGCTGAAAACATCTCCATTCAAAATGACAATAAATTAGTTTTCAAATCTTAAAAGTTAATCCAAGACGACAAAATCGTCATCACTATCGTTCTGAACAACAATTTTCCTTTTCCGTTCATTTTTCTTCGGCGATCCTCCGGAAATCGTCATCATTATCGGCTTTTTGTCGAGCGTTTTCCACCGGGGACCCACGACGACATAACTAAAATCAAACTTTTTCGGTTTCACTTCAAAAAAATTTTGATTTGATATAACCATTCTGAAAGTTCAAACGGAATTTTTTTTTATTTTTTACAGTTTGAAAGATTTCAAATTTTGTACAAATCTGAATGCAAAAAATTCATAATTTCAATGAGTTTTTTCTCACCTGATCACAGAATATACAGTGTAATGGAAATCTTCTTGCAAGAACCCGTTGAGAAGAAGAAAAACGACAAGGGATTCACAAAAGTCCTAAAATCAGTTGACGTCTATCAACATGTTTTTTTACCTTGTCTTTTTTGAGTCTTTTCGATAGCAATTCAGCCAATTTGTTTCCAGTTATTCTACCGGACCCATCTTTTGCGTTAGCCAAGTTCTGGAAAAAAATTGAATAATTATATGATAAACACGAAAAAAATTTTTTTCGTTCTAAAAAGAAAAAGAAAAAGCAGATATTCTTCAAACCTGATCGATCGCCCCACTTACGTTTCTTTATAAAATCTTTTCATGAGCCATTTTTCGCCTTTTCTGGAAATTTTGAAGCTTTCTATTAACCTCTGTCTCTAGCCGTTCAAATCTCAATCGTTCTTTGAAAAAGCTGAAAAATAAGAGCGAAGTGAATGAATTTGTCAAATAGTTTTCAGAACTTTGCTCTTTTCATTCTTCAAACAATTCCTCTGAAGATTTTCCAACCTCCTTGATGATATCGACGGCTGAACGCGCTTCTTCGGCGACGTCGAACTTAGAGACAGAAGACGTGGAATCCAGACAGACGTCACATTTCTCTTGGCACCAACTCGGTTCCCAGGCCTCCTCAAAGTGCTCGGCGAGACGCATCCGTCGGCAGGTTCCTGCCTTGAATCCTATCATTGAAACTCAGGTCAAGCTTATTTCAATTTTGATGCCTTTCTCAAAGCGATTCCGCAAAATTCAAGATAGCCGTCAGAGAATGGAAAAGACAACTAAAATTTTGAGAGTCATAAAGGATTTTTTTTTTGTCAGAAATTACTATTTTATGCCTTTTTGCATTTTTTCTTTTGGAATAAACCAAAAAATACTTCAGTCGCGTATCGGACGATATTGTAGAGGTTGGCGATGCCGGTCTTCTCGTGTTGGACCATGGTGGACTGCTTGAAGACGTCGGCCATCCTGTAGAAGAGAAGACATGTCGCTGGGTTTCCGTCACGACCCGCGCGACCACTTTCCTGAGAAATTACTGGATAATGTAGAAAATAACAAAGAAAAAAAAAAAAAAAACAAAATGTTAGTTTTTTTCTCGCATACTAAGAAAAACTAATCTTCTCTTTCTATTATTGTAACCGAAAATTGAAAAAAAGTCCTCGTCCGTTAAAAAAATAAAAGTATCAAGATTACTGGCAATGATTTATAGTTCACACGAACCAGTGAATGGAATTATTCCCTGAACTGTTTTTTTATTAAATAAAATTGAACTGGAAAGGCTTCTTTCAAAACTCCTTCAGCTTTTATATAAGATAACCATTTGGCAAAAAAATTTTTTTTCAGCACTAATTATTGTTTTAAATTCTGCATTCTTTTTCTCAGCCTCAAAATAATTCCCCAAGACCAGCCGCCTCAAAATCGGTAGCATTGGGTGAACGAAGCTAATAAACGAGCGGAGGATGGGCAAAAGCCGGGCTCTCAGGTGCTCTTCGGTCCCAAAAAGGGCCGAGGTCAACACTGTTTGCTCGCCGAGCATCACCTATCTCACGTGCTTTTCCTTCCATTCAACATGAATTTTGTCAAATTACGTCTAGCAACGCCTTTTCTTTCCGAAAACTACACAGGTCCCAGGTGTGAAGCTCAAAAATCCGTCGTGGTCGCATGTGGAATGGCTAAATGCGCCGCGGTCGCGTAAAATCTCTCTTTTTCTAGTTTCTGTATGTCTTCCCGCGCAAGTCGCTTTGAGTCTCATGCCTTTTAGAGCGTTCCAAGCCATTCCACGTGCATCCTAGGGATAAAAAGATTTTATAAACATGGAAAACTTTTCAGTTTCGCACATCGCTTCACACTTTGCCGTGCGATATCGATAAGCTTGGGAATTGTGGTGAGCACTTTTTTATGGTAAAAATGGAGAAAGAAAGCCGCGAAAAAGGTGAAAAGTTCGATATTTTGCGCTCTATGGATATTTTTTGAAAAAAATCGCCCTTGAAATTCGCTCTAAGGATAATTTATTTTTTCTCTGTGTACTGAAAAAGCGTAACAGGAACGAAGTGAAAGAAGAATTTTGGGACTTTCCGTTATTTCGTTTGGAGAATGCTTTCACTCGGTTCTACGCTTTATTTCTCAAGTTCTCTATTTTTCACCCAATGATTTTCCAATTGAAGGTAACAGTATGTCTGATCGAACTGACGGCGGCGGCAGTGACCGACGAGGACGTGGCTTTTCTGGCCTGGGGCCTGGCAACTCTTCAATCGATAACGCCGATCGTCATCCAAATTTTCATCGAACGCAAAATTGTCAGTCAATCTGATTTTCGGTATTGAAGTTCTCGGAATTAAGCTGACTGAAATGATCGCGTTCGGCTACTTTGAAATCGCCTACTTCACAGTCGGGATTCTGACGTTTCTACGGGTCATCATCTACTTTGTGGTTGCCAGCAGCAAGGTGGCCAATTTCTCATAGTTTATTAAAATTATTCGAAAAAACCAATACATTACTGCAAAAAAGTTAATATTAAAACTGACTTGAAACGTATTCCTTGAGGGTTTTCTCAAGATTTTGAACAAAATGTGCAAAAAGAGATTTTGACATTTATGCCGTGTTCAAAGTGATTCCGCGAAATTCAAAATAGCCGCCAGAGAAAGAGAAAGATAACTGAATTTTGGAGGGTCAGAGACCATTTCGCATTTCGCGGAAATTACTTTGAACACGGCATTATGAAGCTTATTTTGTTTTTATCTAGCGGGGTTTAACGTCTCTTTGACGATTGGCTCGGGCCTGAAACTCCCAACTTGAAATATTTCAACCGGGTCTTCGAACGATTATTGGAAAAAATGGTGCAAAAACGCCTTGTTGCTTTTTTGTAGCCTTTGTAGGTTTTCTAAACGCCTCTAAGCGACTTTTTTCTTAACTCGAAGAGTTTGAGATATCTTTGACGATTGGCTCAAACCTGAAACCACCGACTTGGAGTGAAAATCGAAATGAAAAAGTGTGCAAAGAGAAATGATCTATTTCTGTAGGATTTTTTTTATGTAAAGTGGTTTTTAACGTTACTTTGGCCATTAGGTCGCATAAAGTCCATTAGTTTGCTTCTATTCGAATATTTTGAGCTTCTCTGAAAATAAATTCCGCCAGCCAACTTTTTTTCCGAGGGTATCGATGAGATGCCGAAAAAATGAAAAACTGAGAATCCAGGTTGCTTTTTTGAGCTATTACTTTTATCACAACAATTTCACAAGTCTCTAAAACTTTAGTTCAGGTTTTGACACGCTCCGCCCCTTTTGAGGATGATTATAGCCCAAATAAGAAAAATAAAACCTAATTTTTTGTTCGTAGTCCTAATGGAATGTAGCGTGATTTAAATGAAAGATAATACTAATATGAAAACGTTTTGTGTCGATTTAAAAGTGACTATACTGAAAAAGGAATTTCAAGGTCGGTCTCCCGGTGAACTTCATCCACCACTACATGCACCTCGACTATTCCTTCATGCACGAACATCTCGAAACGATTACTGTTTCAAACCTATTTCGGGACGTCGGTTCGTCGAAAAGAACCTTTTTGATGAAAAGTGACAACAAATTTCAGCTTTCCTCGTCATTTTAATATTCTACGAGGTGGTCACCATTTATCACTTCACCTATGTGACTCTTCAGGTAAACTCACAATTTATGAAAAACAGATGAACTTGACGAAATGAGTCAATGATGAGGCTTTTGGATACATTTTTTTCAAAACTGGCCTTTTTTGGGATTGTTTTTACCTTTTCTCCAGAAGAAGAGGTTGAAAATAAACGTTTTAGCCAAATAAAAAGAATAAGAGATACTTCAAAGGCTGTTTTTGAAACAAATGGTATCATTATCACTTCTCAGACCTACGTAACGGGAACCGGACGCGCTCCGGACGTTTCTGAGAATCTCTAGGGAACACTTGAGAGTTCTGTCGCTACTAAAGTGGTCCCTAGAAATGCCTCGACAAGTCCGATTCGCGCCTGTGTCTAGTTACCACGATCCGAGTTCATATCATTGAAATTCAAAATTTATTTTAGCTACTGTTTTTTGGTCTTGTGAACATATCTATGGTACCATATTTAGGAAACTTTTCAAATTCAAAAAAAAAACTTGTTCTTATTTTAGCAAAATTTTCTTCTTGATACACTTTTTCTCTAAATTGTCTCAAGACGGGAATAATCTATTTCCCAGTAAAATTATAAATTTAGTGCATCCGATACAAAGACGCGCGTCAACGAAGAAGCGTTTCACAGCGGCGGCACGAGAACGATTGTTCCGGAAGTTTCTGGAGCCAAGACGGCAGTAATTTGTGCATTTTGGACATTCCGTCACTTCAGACCTCAGCATCGAGATGTTAGCTGATGAGGAATAATGGAATGAGCCTCAAAAAATCTTTAAAAATCAGCGGTTCTCCGAAATTATTTTTTGAATGAAGCTTTTTTTAAATTCCAGTTATACTTCTTTTTTAAGCAAGAAATGCGGGTCTGTGGGCCTACAATCATCCGAACCTGATCATTCCGAACCAAATCCGAACCAAGTGTTCATCCGAACCTAATCATTCCGAACCAATGGAGTATTCATTCCGAACCAATTGAGTAATCATCCGAACCAAAAAGGGAATTTTTCATGTGTTCTTTCCGAACCAAAAACGTGTTCATTCCGAACCAAAGGTACAGTTTCTTCCGTTGATTTCTCAAATTTTTTTGAACAAAATTTCTCTTTTTGCAATGATTTGTCATTTTTTTAGATGTACTTCAAGTCGAGAAAAATCTGCCGGCTCTTTTTTTCGATCCATGATGTTCCAAAACCAAAAATCAGAACCAAGTCTCAGGCGAACCCATTCCAACGCGGACCATCTCATGCTCACTAGAACCAATAGTTTTGAAGCTTCGCCCAACAAATCTTCGGTATAGTCCGTGAATTTAGAACACATCAACAACTGAATTCATCTGTTTTTCCTTTTTCGTGAATTTTTGAACATTTAGAAACTGAACTTTATCGATAATTTTTTTCAAGACTGTTCAATTCTTTTGCAATTAAGGTCACCTTTTTTATAGCTCATAGGAGAACAAGATTTTCAGCGGGATTAGATTCCTTCGAATCCACATTGATGAAGTATCGGAGTAAAGAAAACGATGAATGTTGGTCCATCATCAGGAAAAGTGCGAACGGCTCATTAGGAGAGATTTCACTACAGTTTGAAAAAAACGGTATTTTTCTTCTAACTTTCTTTCGGGCTCAAAAGTGAAACTGTTCTTTTTCATGCCGCGATATCCTGTGCAATAAGGTGAAAAATTCCACGATTTTCCTGAAACTCGAATATGACTTCTTCCCATTACCAGTTCAACTTTTGCAATATCAGGTTTTTTCAAGTTATAGCTTATTTCAATAATTGCAAACTCTAGTGAAAATCGTACAGATGTAATTGAAAAGAATTCGCGAACTTTCAAATAGAGCTCAGAAAAAGTGAGATTTTTCGGAAAGACGTTCAAAGCTTTTTTTCAATAATTTTCGTCCTATTGAATAGCCTTACTATGTATTTGACGTTAAATCTGAGTCAAAAAAAACTTTACAAGAGAATAACTTCTACTGAGGTAAGTCTTCGAACATTCGCGGTTTTTTAGTGAATGAGACAAATTATACTCGTTTTCATGTAATATCATTCCATGAAACTTTTTAGGTGAAGTTGTCGTAAGAGTAAACTTTAGCAGAATTCGAGCATCCGAACACCTTCGTCGAGCTGCTGTTGACGGATATACTGTTTCTATCCGCGACCGGTAGAAAAAAAATATCGAGGGTCAATTTTTATTAATTTATTCTATTCAGTAAAAAAATTCTCGATTGACGCTACGATGTATAGCATAAGTGGAGAAAATAAATAAATAGTTTGAAAAAAATCTCCCACCATTAAAATAGAAGGAAAAAAACTGGCTTTTAACAAAAGTCTCTGAGATGGCCCAAGAGGCTCTGAAAGCTCTCTAAAAACCTCTAAGAGCCTTTTTCCAGCCAAAAAATGGGGGAAAAGGAAGGCGACGAGAACGACATGTTCAGTAAAACTTGTAGCCGCTATGCAACGAATTTTTCCCGCAAGAAGATTTATAAAGTTTATAAAACTATATCGTTATGAATGAACAAAGGTGAATCGGGAAATCGATACAAGTAGGTACCGGGTAGCGACCGCTAGTGAGGTAGCTACTTATTAGCAGCTTTCACGATACCGGAAAGCATACAGCGATACCACTCCGGTAGAATCCAAGTACCATAGATATAGTACACGGACGCATACAAACAACCACCGATTAGAATACGCTGATTGATTTCAAAGTTGCTGCCCGGTACAATCTTGTAACGACCTCTCGATCGGCCAGTGAACAAGAAAATAAGTTGAAGGGCAAAAAATGAAATTCTATTTTTACCCCTAAAGTTTTCTAGAGAAAATGGGAAAAATACGAATCAAAGTTGCCAGGAAATTTACTCTTCACCATTATATCAGTTTTTAATAGTTAGAAACTCGAAATAAGAAACGTTGAAAGACAAAAAGAGAACTTTACATTTTTTTGGCCAAATTTTTTTAGCTGAATAAATTGCTTTTTAGTTCAATAATTTTTGCATAGTAATACAGTAGATAATATAAATTTCATATTGTGAAAAGAAAAACATGAAAAAAACCATAGAAAGAAACGAAATTATCAAAAAATACGAAGAAAACAAGAATGATTTTGAAAATTAGAAACGTTTGGCAAACCTCCAAGTGAATGGGAAAATATGGTCTCAAAGCGATGAAATAGTGCGCCAAAACCTTGGCGCCTGCCCAATTTACGTTTCTTTTTTCTTTTCGTTGTATTTTAGAACAGTAATACATTTATTGATCATTACATTCGTTTTATGAACTGACACATTTCTAAATATTAAACTAGGTCATGTTTCGCACATTAATTTATGTTTTTTCACGTTTTTTTAAATTTTAGGCCCAAAAATTAGAAATTCAATTTTAATTTTTAACCGTTTTTTCCTGTTTTTCTAACTATTTGAGTTCAAAAATAGAAAATAGGAAGTTTTTCAATTTTTATTCAGAGTGGTTTTCCTTCTTCAAAAATAAAAATGGGCCTAAAAATGTAAATTTACAATAAGACTTCACGTAAAGTTCTCTTTTTTCTTTGAGTGTTTCAAATTTCGAGGTTTCTAACTATTGAATTGATAGAATGGTGGAGAGTAAATTTTCTGTCAACTTTGATTCGTATTTTTCCCATTTTCTCTAGAAAAACTTTAGGGCAAAAATAGAATTTCATTTTTTGCCCTTCAATGTATTTTCTTGTTCACTGGTCAATCGAGAGGTCGTTACAAGACTGTACCGGGCAGCAACCTTGAATTCAATCAGCGTATTCCAATCGGGGGTTGTTTGTATGCGTCCGTGTACTATATCTATGGTACTTGGATACTACCGGAGTGGTATCGCTGTATGCTTTCCGGTATCATGAAAGCTGCTAATAAGTAGCTACCTCACTAGCGGTCGCTACCCGGTACCTACTTGTATCGATTTCCCGATTCACCTTTGTTCATTCATAACGATATAGTTTTATAAACTTTATAAATCTTCTTGCGGGAAAAATTCGTTGCATAGCGGCTACAAGTTTTACTGAACATGTCGTTCTCGTCGCCTTCCTTTTCCCCCATTTTTTTCGGCTGGAAAAAAAGGCTCTTAGCGGTTTTTTTAGAGAGCTTTCAGAGCCTCTTGGGCCATCTTAGAGACTTTTGTTGAAGCCAGTTTTTTCCTTCTATTTCAATTTTTTATTTTTGAATTGAGATTTTTCAAACTATTCATTTATTTTGCTCTATTCTTATGCCATGTCCAAATTGATCCCGCCAAATTCATAATGTTCATGAAAAAGGGGGAAACATAACAAAATTTTTTAGTGATGAAGAGAATTGCGGATTTCGCGAGAATTACTACGAACATGATGTAAAATTTTAATTGAGAAAATTTGGAGAATAAACTTAATGAACTTGAACTACGATCCTTTTTTACCTCTGAATTGCCGGTCGCGGATAAAAATGGTGTAGTCCGCCAACAAAGCTTGATGAAGGTGTTCGAAGGCTCGTAATCTGCTTGAGCTTACTCTTCTCAGAGCTGCTGATAGAAGAAAGGCGCCCCGCACCGCGAAACGGTAACATTATCAAAAGAGTCATTTTTTCTTAGTTTTTTTCATCAACTTCAGCTTGATTTTCACTCATATGAGTGAAAATCATGATAATTTGGAGGTTACCTTTTCCGACCCTGCGGAGCGACTGCTTAAATTCACGGGGTGCCCCGTCAGCAGCTCTAATTCTTCCTGTCTTCCAAGTGCCACGCGCCAACGCCAACTCTTCTTTGAGGAAACAACCCAACCAATACGTATTGATGAAAAATGATAATTAGACTGAAAACAGTAAGATTCTACTCATTTACTATGAAACCGCAACATGACGAAGAACTAGCTCGCTTGATCGTATAACCGATTCACGGCTAGCTTGGGACTCGAGGAAGCGTTTTTTCAGTGGCTAAAGCCAGTCGTGAATTAACGAAACTTTCTTTAAAGGTTTTTTAAAAATCTCAAAGTTTCTAGAAAAAAATATATATATAATTCGTATTCGAAAGATCAGCCACTCACGAAAAAATTAACTTCGGGCCTTATTGATCGGTTCGGGCTCGAAAGATGAAGCGCTCACTTACGGACCCAAAGTTTAGCAGGCCCATTTCGAGTGAAAACTTTTTTGGAATGAAACGAATCGTGATTTTGAAAAATTACAGTTAGATTTATCTGTCAATAATTAATAGCAGTTTTGATGGTTTGCAGAGGGCTCTGCAATTATTGAAAATGATTACCCTGAGAAATCTGATATTACACAGGACGAAATGCGAAAAGGGAAAATCTCTCCTAATGAGCCGTTCGCACTTTTCCTGATGATGTACCAACATTCATCGTTTTCTTTACTCCGATACTTCATCAATGTGGATTCGAAGGAATCTAATCCCGCTGAAAATCTTGTTCTCCTATGAGCTATAAAAAAGGTGACCTTAATTGCAAAAGAATTGAACAGTCTTGAAAAAATTATCGATAAAGTTCAGTTTCTAAATGTTCAAAATTCACGAAAAGGAAAACAGATGAATTCAGTTGTTGATGTGTTCTAAATTCACGGACTATACCGAAGATTTGTTGGGCGAAGCTTCAAAACTATTGGTTCTAGTGAGCATGAGATGGTCCGCGTTGGAATGGGTTCGCCTGAGACTTGGTTCTGATTTTGGTTTGGAACATCATGGATCGAAAAAGAGCCGGCAGATTTTCTCGACTTGGAAGTACATCTAAAAATGACAAATCATTGCAAAAAGAGAAATTTTGTTCAAAAAAATTTGAGAAATCAACGGAAGAAACTGTACCTTTGGTTCGGAATGAACACGTTTTTGGTTCGGAAAGAACACATGAAAAATTCCCTTTTTGGTTCGGATGATTACTCAATTGGTTCGGAATGAATACTCCATTGGTTCGGAATGATTAGGTTCGGATGAACACTTGGTTCGGATTTGGTTCGGAATGATCAGGTTCGGATGATTGTAGGCCGGGTCTGTGTTCAAATATTCGAAAGCGTACAGTCCGTTTTTCGCTTTTTGGAACTGCTTTTTTTTCTCTGCGCCCTCCTCTTCTCTTAATGACCCTCTCATGTTTCTATGCTATTTTTACGATTTTTTGACCTCGCTGACGAGGGAAGAGAGAGAGAGACGCAGACAGTCGAAAATTTTTGTGGATCCAGAGGGCGCTCGACCTCTCATTTTTGAAGATTCCCTCGTAGATTTCAAAAAGAAAAACTTTCTCACTTGATAATAATTTTCAACCGATTTCGGCAGAGAGTGATGGATGACGAAGCGGACATCCGGCTTGTCGATACCCATCCCTGATTTATTTCATAAAATTAAAATTTTCTGGCCGCCGGTTGAACTTTTGAGGAAACTTGGCTGAAATGTACCTTACGAGAAACATCTTTTTTTTTAGAATTCTCCTGAAAATTGGCCAGAAAACCCCTTGATTTTTTCGAATAAGATTCTGGAAACTTTAACCTGCAAAATCATTATTCGAGTAAGAAGACCTCAAAATGAAAAAAAAAATCTTCAGAACCCGTTACAATAGGGAGCTATTTTTTTTTTGCAAGCTAGAAATACTTTTCATTTTTTAAACTCACGTGGTCCTAAAGTGAAGCCAAGCCTCATCAAAAGTTTCATCGGAGGTCAAAAAGTTCCCTAGTGAGAAAAAAAAATACCGAAAGCGACGGTGGCGACGATGACTTGAAATTGGTCGGCGAGCCATTTTTCATGAACTTGACTTCGTTGTTGAGGCTCCAGATGGGCGTGGTAATGCTTCGCTTTGATACCTAGTTTTCTGAAAACCCCAGATATGGTATCCCTTCTGAGGAAGGTCGAACTTGAGTGAGGCCGCCACTTTTTCCGAGTCATTTCGTGACAAGCAATACACGATTCCGCTCTCGTTCTTAAACCTGAAAAAATATTCGAACAATAGCAAATATTCAGAAACTTGAATTTTTTCAGATTCACGTCGAATTTTTGCGGCACCCGTTTGAATTAAAAGTTTGGACATGCTGAGAAAGACGGTCGGCACGGTCACTTTTTTAAAGTGGCCATTTGTTGAAGTTTTTTTTAGTTCTAAGTCGTTTGAGTGTCCAAACTGTGTAAACTTCTGGATTTTGGTTAGGTTTTAAGTTTCGAAAAATCCAATATTGGCGGCCCAGAACAGGATCTTTGTGTTTTATTTTCAATAAACTTTATGTCAATTTTTTTATTTTGGCCTGAAATCGGAATATATTGTGCGAAATAATTTTCATTAGGATTTTTTTGGCGAAAAAGGAAAATTCAGAAAAAAAAGAGAATTTTCAAAAATTAAACAACCAGAATCTTCAAAAACTGACTTCGAACCTGATCATATCATGAAAATATAAGAACTTTAAAGCCTTTGACACCCTGATAAAGCCCAAAGAACTCTTAAAACTCGAAAACTTGAAAAACATTTGCAACATAAAAAACCGACCCATTTTTACAACATGCGCTAATAACTGTAGGCATCATACGGTATACTCATTATTTTTTTAGAAGAAAAATTAGAATCATTCATAATTCATATGAAACAGGCTTTTGTAGCTTTTTGCATGAATGAGGTCGCTCAAACTGAAATCGAATTTTTCCAATAAAATATCAATTTTTTTCAAATTGACACTTTCTTAGAGCCCAAATGTGGAACTCCTCTCTAGCAGCTTGAAAAAAACGACGTTTAGAGTGATTCTACTCAGCCTCAGGGCGTTTTTAAATCGAAATTATTTTTCCAGAATGTTTTTGCTTTTTTTTTTTTTTTATTAAATAATAAGGAATCACCGGTTGTTGATAACGGAAGCTATGGCAGCCGCGCAATCGTCGTCAGAAGCCGGTTTGGGTCGGACCTCGTAGGTGAGGTTGGGCCGGTTGAATCCGGCGCGGAAGACGATCGCCGCCTGGACTCCCAGCATCTCCTTGACGTCGTCGAGGACGCTGGCCGTGGCTGTGGCCGTCAGTCCGAGGATTGGAACTCCTCTGAGGGAAATAAACTTGAAGGCCTCATTGGCAAAAATAAAAAAATGAGAAACTATGCTATTTTTTATTATCTTTTTGAGCTGCAGGGTTGCACAGGAATGCAAATTTCCGGATAAAAATAGATTTTTACACGGAAAACTGAAAACAGAAAACCTTTTTTTTTTAGCCCGAAACGGAAAAGAACTTTTGAGGAAAAACGGAACAACCCTTTTAGTCGGTTAGCTGGTATTTTCGGGAATTTATTCAGTAATTACAATGAATTATTGCAGTGCGAAACAATATTCCAATGGATGGATCTAAAAAGTGTTTTCCCATTGCAGAATTTGAGTAGAATGGTGGAAATTTCGGGAGGTCAAACATCATTTCTTCCTTACCGACACGAATTCTGAGCGCTGTATGCTGTTTTGGAGCTCACATGGAAGTTTTTGTGTGGAGTTTAGAACTTTTCGAAGACTTGCTGAGACTTTTCTTAAACTCACTTGAACTGTCTCTTCAAGACGTTGAGAAAAGCGTAATCCGTCCGGAAGTCGTGTCCCCACTGGGAACAGCAATGGACTTCATCAATCGCAATCAACTGAAAATAAAATTCACCGTTGAAGGCTCAAGAAATCCGATTTTGTTACCCAAAAGTCATGACATTAAAATGAATGGTCATCAACTTTTGGACTAAACTTTTTCCGTTGAATATTCTATTCTGAAAAACAAATAGGAACTTCTTTTTGAGTAAAGGTTTTGATTTAACAAGGATGAAGGCATAAAAAATGATTCACTACAAAAAATAATAATTTGGAATAACTCGAAAAAAAAAAATTAAAGTACCGAACGAGACATTTTTTGAAGTTCTGTTCAAAACACAACTAATGATTGACCTCAGCTTCTTTTTCCATCTTTCACCTTCAAAAAGCCGACGGAGAGCGACTTTTCCAGTTTGTTCATCATCCTTTTGCTTTTGGCCAGTTTCTCCGGAGTGACATAAAGTAACCGGAACGACGAATCCTTGTTAGTAATGGCGTCTTCGACTTGTTTCGCCTTAAAATAGGGAATCTTTTTTGATTTTCTTCATCAGGTACCTCTTCTTTGGAGGTACTTGCATTGAGTGCCGCTGCTTCGATTCCTAATTTTCGTAGCTGGTGAATCTGATCTTCGACCAGCGAAATCAGTGGAGAAACGACCAAAGTTAGACCGGGAAAAAATTGTTTCTTTAATTTCAGCCGGTTAAAAATTCAACATTGATTATTTTTCTAATTGTGGATATAGTGTCAGAAAATCATTTTGGGAGAAAAAGGTGTATGGAAGACTCGGAAGGTCTCGAAGCGAAGAGCCATTTTTAGTGTTATAGCTCATTTCGCGCCAGCTTTGCACGTTTTTTATTTTCTTCCGAGTGAGAACCCTTCCATGAAGCGCTGCCTCTTCGCATACGCCTTTTTTTTGGCCTCAGATCCGCTTTATATTAAAGGCGCATGCGCACAGGCAGGTCATGCGCCTTCAAAGGGAAGCTTTCGAGAAGAGTTCTGTAATTTGGACGAAAATAAGAATCGTGACAAGCTGGCGCGGAATGATTATATTTTTGGAAGCTTCTCAGTCGTTGAAAAAAAACCAAGACTTTGCTCAGAGTCTACTTTCAAATTTGGCGAAAGAAAAAATCTACTTTACTTTTTGTCTCAAAATGAGCTCTGAATCCAATATTTCAAACGTGAAACCTTTTGCGAGAAGAGCGGGAAGCTGGTAACAGAGACTTTTTCCGCCGCCGGTGCTCAAAATGACAATCGCGTCTTCTTTGCTCATCACGGCGTTGATGGCGGCTCTTTGCAAAGGTCGGAAATGATCAAGGCGGAAGTTCTAGAAAAGTTGTATCAGCGAAAAAGTCCGAAGGCCCCACAGAAGGATATTTTTGAGAAAGGTCTTTGAATGACCTCTCAGCTCTTTTTCGTGGCTCTTATCGGAATCGCCCCTTTTCAAGAAGATATAAGGAGTTCATGTCAAGTTCCAGGAAAGGAGGAATAAAAAAGCCGATGAAAAGATGAGAAAAAGAAGCTTAGAGGGAACTTTAGCGCCTTTTTTGAAATTTTTTCCCTCTTTCTCTCTTTCAAAATTGTCATTAATTTCCGCTTGAGATGGGCCCTTCTTGAAATCACACCGAACAAACAGCCTTTCTTGCACTAATTCTCTAAAAAAATTGCACAAAAAGGTCTTGAAACGAATTTTGGTCTACGGTCCTTTTTTCGAAAAAAAAGGAGGCAAGCGGGTCTATATCGGTCTAAACCTCTTTCAAGACCTGATATTATTCCTTTTTTTCTCTCCTTACCTCTTTCAAGATGCGATTGGCCTCTTCGGTCCAAGGGAATCCGTCGCGATCCCACCGATCCGCCAGACTTGCGTCGTCTTCCCCGCACCGATTTTCGATCCTCCGTTGGATCTGCGGCTCTTCTTCAGTTTTCTTCAAAAACGCAAAGGGAAACCGCGGCTCTTTTCTCGGTGAGCTCATTCTTGTGTCGCCTCAGCTGCTGCAGCTCCTTCTCCACAGCTGCAAGTTGCTCGTCAATCGCCGAAAGTTCGGCTGACAACTTGGAGTTCGTTGGCTCGTTCATCCAACCTTGATTTTTCGAAACTTGTTGTATGTAAAACGAGCGTGAATTGTTGTAAAATATGCCTTATGACGTCTAATTTGCTCAGGAGGACTCATTAAATTCAACTGTAATTACTCATCTATCCAACGTACTCTACGGTGCTCAAAATTCAAGTCTTTCGCCTTTTTCCTACCGCGAAAAATCCCGTATATTTTACTCTCCTACGATATTCGTGAAAAAACCTTTCTCAATAATTAAAATAAACAGTTCTATGCACTTCAGAAAAATAATAATTAAAACTTTCAAAGATCGGAAAATTATTAGACAGTCCAATAAATTTCCGATTAAGAAGTCTAATTTAGACTTGGTTCTTTCACAAGAAGGTACAACTTTTCTTTGAACTTTTTTTTCTGTAATATAGTTTATTCATTCATAGCTATCTTGAAGCAATATTTTATGGGTCTCGACACGATTAGCTAAAATCACAGATTTCTAGGCATTCCGACAATAACCTTTTTTTCTTAATTAATTATGATAAAGCTACTCAATTGCAAATTTTTCTTTTAAAATAACTGTTGCTTGATGAAAACTAAATCCAACGAATGTTTCAATATTTGAATAAAAATTTATGAAATTCAACAAAATGTACAAAAAAAGATAATAATAATTAAAAATAACAAAGTGTACAAATTCAAAAGTTCAGAAAGCGCAATCAAAAAAAAATAAAATCAAAAAAAGGTTATGATTCGAGTTCTCTATCTGCAAACTCGATTTGTAAGGCAGAAAGGACCTCCATCTTCAAATTTTTGGCTGAAGACGTCAGGATCTCTTCTTCTGAGCTTTTCCGAGGACGATGACGCTTCTTCTCCAGGACATCTGCATGGAAACGGGGCCACCACGACGATCGAGGCTTCCATTCATTGAAAACGACGTCAGGAAGAGCCTGAATAAGTACAAGGTAATTCCAAAAATGATGGGCTTCACAGGACTATAAGCTGAAGTTGAAAATTGGTCAAAAAGCTCTGAAAGATACGAATAAGACTCCTCAATAAATAGAGGAAGTTTGAAATTTGTAACCCTGTTTTATTTTTCGAGCCGATTTTTGAATAGAAAACTAGCTTCTTTGTTTTTTTTTTTGCGAAGCGATTGTCCATCTATAAATTTACAAAGGATCTTTTTTTCTGGAAGCCGAAATTTCACCGGTTTGGTTAAAATAATAATATTCCATTTTACCTTCTGAACAGCTTCATGAAGCAGAGTCCAGGCGCGGCTGGAGTTTCGATTGGACCCAAAATCCAAAAAACCAAACAAAACTTTGACGCATTTCGTCAACGTGGTTACAACAGCTCCATACCTCAAAATCAAGCAAAAAGGAATTCAAAAAGGGAATTTTCCAAGGACCTAGTGAGATTTTTCAGCCTCGCCTCGCACCAATCGAGCCAGAGCGGCTCGCTGGGGTGCAGCCCGTGTTCGTCCATCTTTCGGCAGGCCTTCAAAATAATAAAACTTTATTCTATACGACCGAAATTATGAGAAACTTTAACCTTACAGCGAAAATTTTCGTTCAATAGCTATGAAAGAGTTTTTGAAAAGAAATAGCAAACAAAACTACGTTCAGAATCAAAGGAAATTGGAAGTTTTTTATCTTTTTTTTCAGATAGAAAAAAAATTGAAGAAAGTAAACTTTATATAGAGATGAATGAAGTCAAAAAAGCAACGAAAGGTCTCTTGTAATTGGGCAAAAAAAAAACAAATGAAAAAAGGCTACAAATTCAATCAGGATACTGTTTCAAAGCACGGACTTTTTTTTCTTGAAAAGAAGAAATTTTCCTTGTTTTCAAGCAACTTGAAAAGTAAGACTTTCATTTTCAGAAAAAGGAAAGTTGAAAAATGTTTTCCAATAATCAGAAAGTTTCAGCAACCCTATTTTTGACAGCTAGTTCGAAGTAAATTTTAATCTTTTTTTTTTGACGTTCTTACCTTTTTTTAAGATGCTTTGAAATTGAAAAAAAATCGTTTTCTTTTTTTTGTCAAGCTTTTTTATTTTTTTAAAAAGTTTTTTTGAAGTTAAATATCCTTAAATAACTAACATCTTCGATCAAAACGTCTTTCTCGAACTCCAACCCACAGTTACTCGCCACTTGAACGAGACGTGGAGCTAAGGCCGGATAGAGTTTAATCGTACTCGAAAGAGAATCCATGCTGGAAATTTGAAATTAAATACACGAAAAATTGTTCAAATCAAGCAACCAACATATGCTGTTCGGAGTTTCGAGAATGCTTCCAAATACGGCACGCCGTTTCTACGAAAACAGAACCACAGACGCCGATTTCTGGGGAAAAAAAAAGCAATCTTTTCACTTTTTTTGAACATTTCCATTTTAATTTGAATATTTTTAATGATTAGTTCATCCTATAAATCAGCTTTCTGCTTTATAGGATTAATATTGAAAGTTTTAACAAGGATTGGAGAAGCTTCAGAAATAATATAAAAAATCAGAAGTTGAAAAAAAAAGATAAAAAGAACCTTCTTCGGCGTCCGAATCAGCATATTCTGCCAGGCGGGCAGCATCGATAGCATATGCGCCATAATCGCCCGAAACATTTTTCTCGACCATCCAAAGGATTTTCCAAGCCATCCAAGGAACCGTGTACTGAAAAAAAATTGATTCTTAACAGAACTGCCACAGAATCTCTTCTTTATCATTATTTCAAAGAGCTGTGTAGGTGGGTGGAAAAAGATACTCTTGTTGAAATATCCCTCAAAATTCTTTAGACTTCTCATTTTCAAAAATTCATTTAATAAGCTCAAAGATTTGAGAAACGTCTCTCATCAAATCAAAAAAAGTTCAGAAAACCTCTTATTTCGCCATCCGAAAAAAATCTAGAAAAAAATCTTTTTCAATACAACATCAAATTTTCAAAAATTAAAAATGAACCTCATGCTTTTTGTTTCTGGAACTGACAAACGACTCGAAGGTGATAATTTCCTCTTGCGCTTTGGTCAAACCAAGGCCCAGGGCCGTGAGAAGAGCTTCATTCAGATGGGCCATCACGTCGTTGTGAAATCTTCAAGAGGATCTTTTTTGAAATTACGTTTCTATTTCCACGTTTTTCCTTAAAAAGTATGATCCTTGTTTTTGTTTTTCTTGCTTCGAAAAAAAGAAGCTTTGACCGCTTGGAAAAAAATCTAACTTTTTCATCTTCAAAATTTGAAATCAATAATTTATACTTTAAAACTCTGTGATTTTTCAAACCATGAGATTTTTGAATAAAAGCCCAAACGGCCCTAAAAAAAGAAGAATCTAAGTTCTTTTTTGAGTTCATAAAAGAGTTTCGAAATTCCCAGAATTTCCTTTTTTCGCCTAAAAAAGTCCGTTTCAAAAAAAAAATCAAGAAAAAAAATTTTTGAGGTTTTTTCCGAAAACTTTTCTCAAAATTATGTCTTTCTGGATTTTACCCGTGATGAGAGATTGATTCAATTCAACTTTTTTTTGAAGTTTGATCGCCTGTTGATTTTTCAATTGCTGATTTTTGGATTTAATTTAAATTTGGTGTATTTTTCGGGTCCACTGTTTTTAAGTAATACTGAAACTGGTCGAAAAGAAATTGACCGTCCTGTTATATTAATATTTTCCTTTGTTATAAAATTTCTCATTGAACACAACTATTTTTTTCCAGCAGACTCTACAAAAGAACGAAAAAAAAACCTCCTTTCGCCCATATGAAGAGCGTGTGAATGAGCAATCTGAATTAGCTGTTCGCCCAGAGTTTCCAAAGAAGTTTGAAACTGAAATCTCCAAAAACTATTGAATATCATGGGAATATTTCCAACATTCTGAATAACCGCCTGTAGACATGTGTAGAAGAGCATCGGGTATTCGGAAAATAAGTCATCTCCGAAATATATCGAGCTGAGCTCCATTTTCTGCATATTTTCGTGAATTCTTTTATTTTGATAGTAGCGCAGGTAGGGATGGTGGGCTGAAACTGCTCGTTTTTCAAAATTTAGTTCGAATTTGGACACTTGAATTTTTTTCATCTGAAATAGCGATTTTCTAGACCTTTAGTATCATTTAAAACAACTGATTGCTCCAAAGTCCTATAATTCTTGAAAATAGAAATTTTCAATTCTACTAAAAAATTTTTTTTTAATTTTCAAAAAAGGACTTCAAAGTATCAAAAAAACCTAATCGAGTCTCGAGAGCACGTTGATTTTTGTTCATAAACGCGTTCCAAAACTGATATTTTTGCCAAACTGCATCCGCTACCCGATTCCTAAAATTCACGAATGAAAATGATTTTTTTATAACATTTCAAAGACTTTTTTCTTCGATTTTGCATACAATAACTCACACTTTTTCCTTCAAAACATCGAAGATTCAATCTGTGGTGAGTAAAAGACGCCTTCTGCTCCTCTTCTCTCAACTTCGAAATTTCACGAATTCTGAATTTATTTCTACTTACAAAAAAATTTCGGAATAAGTAAACAAAACAATAATTAATTTCCAGTGTTTCTCAAAATTTAGCGTCTTAAAATTTTTAACAAGTTTTTGAAAAAAAAATACAAAACTCACAAAATATCAATACTTTTCGGGCTTCCAGGATCTTGCTCAACCGCCAGAGCAATATTGACCCCCCTCTCTGAAGAACTTCGACAATCAAACCGAACCCCAAAAACAGCGAATATTTTCTGATATCTTCTGACAACTACCTGACAAAAATATTTGTATATTTTTAGTCTATTGATTATACCATAGGAGGCCCATTGAGACTGTTTATCCGCTTGAAAACATCAATCAACAAGCCCTTAATGTACTTCATATCTGAAAAAAACTTTGTACTTTATTTCAACCAATTTAAAACTAACGATTTTCTTCCAAAGCAGGATGCCAAATTATTTCGATGGAATCCACCGAACTTTCTGCTGAAGTGGAAGGAACTTCGAAAATGTCGTTTTCCTCATCCATCAGTTCAATATCCTGAAAAGTTTTTTATAAACAAGTTGTTAGTGTAAGGTTCAAAAATTCTGTTCTGATGATAAGATGCCATATCCAACTCTTGTTTGAAATGATATTCAAGAAATAAAAAAATATAATTATAATAAAAAAATGAATTAATAATATTATTGAACAGAAATTAAATTAAATTTTTGAAAACTGTAATATTTCCTTTTTCTAGCGCAACTTGCACTATTATTGTGCCTTTACTGCAATTCTCAACAAGCTCCGCCCTCCACTTTTTTTCGAAGTTTTTTTATATTTTTTTAAATTTAAAAAAATGTTCTTATAAAAATATAATTCGTAAATATTCAATTAAAAAAAGTTCATTGTAGTGAAATTTCTAAAAAAAGATTTATTCAAAGCCTTTTTTTGTTTTTTTCTCATCAAAACTCTAACAGAAGTTCACTGAAATTTGATTTTTTTTTTTTTTCTATTTATTTCTTTCAAATACTGAGTGCTTCAGCTCTTTTTCATTAGACCTTATCAGTTGATGAATAATATTTTTAATCAGTATCACTTTTTTTGTGCTCGATATTTGCAGATTTTCCGATCTTTTTTGTTTACTCTGCGATTTTTTTATTCTCAAATCGATATTAATATTCAAAGTTTTTAGGGGATGTCTTCTTATCATCCGGGTCATGGGAATAGAGAACGCGGCGGAAGAGCCGGTCATACAGATAGAAGGCAATTCCGGCGGCCAGGTCTTGAATTATCTAAATTTTATGCTTTTATTGTGACTTTATAGATGAAGCGGCAGACAAGCCGAGGACTGGACCGCTGGTTTTGGAAGAAAGGCAAGCGGAAACTTCAACGGGAACGACTACAGAGTCGCTAGCCGTTTTCAACAATCCCTACGCTTCTTTGAATATTCAACAGCAACGAATCAGGCTGCCCATTTTCAAGGTGAAAATTCGAATTTCGGCGGAAAAAGTAAGAATTTTGAAGAGTTTCAGAACAGAAGCCATATTCTCTACATGCTCGAAAGGTACAGGACGGTGATTATAGTCGGCGAAACGGGTTGTGGCAAAAGTACTCAGGTTTTTTTATGCTTATTTTGCTGTAAATTTCATTTGAGAAGTATTCAGGTGCCTCAGTTCCTTCTAGAAGCCGGTTGGGCCAAAGATGGAAGGCAAATCGCTATCACTCAGCCGAGAAGAGTCGCCGTTGTTACGGTTTCTTTTTTTATATATTCTCGAGTTAATATATTTCATTCGCTTTTCAGTTAGCCACTCGAGTAGCCGAAGAAAAAGATTGCCTTTTGGGCCACGATGTCGGCTATACAGTCCGGTTTGACGATGTTTCTGATACGAGCACTAAAATAAAGGCAATTTTTGTTTTGAATGGAGAAAATAAAGTTTTGCTTGAAGTTTATGACGGACGGTATTTTGTTGCGGGAGCTGCTTGTTGATCCATTACTGGCAAAAGTATAGGTCGGTTATTTATGAAGAATTTTTTTAAAGTTTTTTTATTAGAAAAAAAATATAATTGACCCATATTACTTCTCGGACCTCGGTAACGACAAGCGGACGTTTCTGAGCATTTCTAGTGACCACTTTAGTAGTGTCATTTCTCTTGAGAGATTCCTAGGATTGCTCAGAAACGTCTGGAGCGCCTCCGGTTGTCGTTACCGAGGTCTGAGTCGTCAACAATTAATTCCTGTGGGTTTAAAGACATCAAAATAGTAACGAAGTTTCAATGATAATAGTCATTTTCAGTGTTTTTTCAAAGTTGCTAAAACCTCTAATGTCTGTGTAAAACCCAATCGAGGATTTTTCAAGATTGAGCGAAATTTTCAGCGTGATAATGATCGACGAGGCTCACGAGCGTTCTTGCAACACGGACATCCTTCTGGGACTTTTGCGGAAGGTGATGAGTGTCCGGAACGACCTCAGGATAATCGTCTCCTCGGCGACGCTCGACGCCGACCTCTTCAAGGAGTTCTTCGAGACAAACGACACGGATAATCCGGAAAAAGACACGGCGGCTATCATTTCCGTGGAAGGAAGGACGCATCCCGTCGCTATTTATCACACTGTCACGTTCGTTTTCAAAGTTATTTTTGTTATCAGAGTTCATTTATTTTATTATTTAAAAGAGAAAAAAAGAGGCATAACTGTTAGAAAAGTAGTAGTTGAAATGAAAAATTTTAAAAAAATAATCGAGCGTTCAACAATTTATCAAAGAGAAAACGGTTCTGAACCATTTTTATTACTGAAAGAAGTTTTTTATTAGTTAACTCATGCTCAAAAATTCAGTTTGATGAGCTTTTATTATTAACTTTCAAATAATGAGTACTTTTAATCATCTTTACGCTTTAAAATCCACCTCCAACTATGGACTTTTTCAAAATGTACCACCTTCCCAAGTTCATATGGCAGTTAGGAAAAACCTTTTCATAGGCAAAGTCGGATAGGCTGAAAAAAGGCTTCATATAAATGTTACTTTTAGGGTAAGAATGGATCTTTTTTTACTGCCTCTTTCGCCATTTCATCGACTTTTATGTACCATTTTCGCTGCCTCTCCCTTTTTCGGTCATTTTTCGAGCCTTTAAAGTTCTGTAAAAAATGAAAGACCCGATAAAGAAACTATTTTTGCTGCCTTTTTTGAACCTCTCCCTTTTAGCGGCCATTATCCACCATTCCGACTTTGCCCGAGCTATCGTTGTTTTTAAACTTCATTTTTCCGTTTCACATATCCTTCGAATTTCCTAATGATTCGCATTTTATCGTTACTGCATGTTCATTTTTTTTATTTTGTAAATTGAAAGAATATTGTTTTAGTTCACTTCCGAACTACGTCCAATCAACAGCCGACACGATTTTGGAAATTCACAAACACGAGATGACCGGCGATATTTTGGCCTTTCTAACTGGTCAGGATGAGGTCGAGGAGGTGAAATAGACCCCAAACTCCTGAATTCCATGAAGTTTGAGCTTGAAGGTCTGTGAGAAACTTCGAGACGCCGTGGCGAATTTGAGAAATGTCGACAAAATGTGGATCGTTCCCTGTTATGGTGCTCTTCCAGCACGGGAACAGGTGAGATTTGAGGAAACTGCAGAAAAAATAAAAGTCATTCATTCCAGATTTTTGAAAATTCTATAAAGGTTTTCAGAAGCGATGTCAGATTGTTAGGTTTCGAGAAATAGAAAGTTGTGCTTTTTTGAATTAATTGACTTTTTCAGTTTGCATTTTAAATTTTTCAATGATCGTATGCCCTTTTTCGAAAAAATAAGTATGGATAGTTCAGTACGAAAATTTTTTAATTTCTTATCTTTAAACTCTTCAAATTTGAAAGAAGATCCAAATTTAAAAGCCTTCAAGGCGGAAAAGTGAAAATTTAGTGAATCAATGCGCTCAAACAGCGATTTTTTTCAAACTCGAGAATTTTTGGTTTTTTTTTCTATGATAGCTCAAACGTCAAACTACCGTTTCAAGTCATTTGTTTATTTCTGATTTTTCCGCGTTCCAATAGTGGTTCCTCCTTTCTGTCCGTTCAAACTTCACTGTGGGGCTTTTAACTCGATTTGGTTAAATTCCACGTTTTAGATGAAACCCTTCAATTTTTAATTTTTCAATTTTTAAGTTGATTTAAATTCAGATTAGAGCGTTCTTTAGAGTTTTTTTAAACCAAATTTTCATTTTAATTTTCATCAAACTTTTTTTTGCAAAAGTTCCTTTTTTTGGAAACGATAAGATCCAGGTAGATTCATTTGTTGCAATAAAGTTTCATTTTGTAGATGAAAGCCTTCGATTCAACTCCCCACGGGACAAGAAAAGTTGTGGTGGCCACAAATATTGCAGAAGCCTCAGTGACCATTCCCGGCGTGGCTTATGGTACTAAGAATTTGAGAAAATAGTTAATTACCGTGGTTTTTAGTGGTAGATTGCGGTTTTGTGAAATTGAGGGCCGTGAACTCTAAAAACGGGATCGAATCTCTGATGAGAGTTCCGATTTCTCAGGCCTCGGCCGAACAGAGGGCCGGTCGTGCCGGTAGAATTCGTCCTGGGAAGGCTTTTCGTCTTTATTCCGGTGCGTTTTCATTGGAATTTTTGTTATTGAATAGTGTTTTGAAAAATCTAGAGTTTATTTTTTTGTTGGTTTTCAAAACATTTTTTTGAAAAAGCCATTTTTTTGAACTTTTTTTCTTTTTCCGAGAGCGCCATGAAAACAAATAGTTTTGCCTATCAAAATATTGATTATTATTATTTTTTTGTGAATGTTTCTTATTTCATTTTTCGAAGTTTCATTCAAAAAAACACAGTTTTTTTCTGACATTAGTCAGCCTTGATTTCAGACCTTGACGTTGAAAGAAATCGGAATTATATTTATAGATATCAAAGTTTTTATGGAAAAAAAGTTTTTGCAAATATATCCTGTATTAGTTGTCCCATGTGAAGTTGAGGACATTTTTGTTTAAGTTTAAAAATTTTTTTCTCTGAAGATTTATTGGTATATAGGAATCAGAAGGGCTATTATTCACATTTTTTTAGTTTTTTTAACCGTCCCTCAGAAATCTTTTCGAGTTTTTTCTATGATTTATATTCAAATATTCGGAACGAATCATATTTTCAGAAGAAGAATGCAAAAAACTGTTGCCTGGAACGGTTCCCGAAATCCAGAGATGTCATCTGGCGCCGGTCGTTTTGCAGTTGAAAGCTCTTGGAATCCAGAACGTCCACAAGTTCCACTACTTATCGGTTTTCCATACTTATTCAGTTTTCAAAACGAATGAAATTTCAGCCACCACCTTCTTGGGCAATGATCAATGGGCTAGAACTACTTTATGCATTGGAAGCGGTTGATGAGAAGTAATTTTTAGAAAAATGAACAGATTATTTGAAGAAAGGTGTTTTTCAGGTGTCTTTTAACGAATCCACTAGGTACCCAAATGGCCGAGTTTCCATTGCCTCCCATGCACAGCAAATGTTTATTGAAATCTGGTGAGCTTCAAAGAAAAAAATATTAATAAAATGTAATGAGAATCATAAAATAAAGTTTCAAAAAAATTTGTTTAAAAATTTGGAATTCTTCATTTTTCTTTTTTTACAATAAGTTGTCTTTTTTTGGAAATCAAGGGAATATGTGCAAGATGACAGGAATAATTGACATTTTCCTTTTTTTTTGGAGCTTCGAAATTAATTTTACGTCTAATAGACCATAAAAAGGGTATAGCCGATTTATCATTAGCTTGTGACTCAAAGGGGCGTGGCCTGTCCGTGCTCTCCACCAACCAAGCACTATCTACTCTTTTTTATAGTCTCAGTATTCTTTTTTTTGACGGCTCAAGCTAAAGCTAGCCGGGAATCCTATATGAAAAACATAGAACAGCTCATTTTTTCTCCAAAAATCTCTTGGAGATCTTCAAAAAATCCTAAAAAGGTTTATAGTTTGAACAGCTTTTGCTCCGACTATACCTTCATGATTAACGACTATACCTTCATGAATAAATCAGGCGAATTCGAATGCAGCGAGGAAATGGTCACCATCATTTCAATGATGCAGATCCAGGATGTTTTCATCACGCCTGTTCGAGGACGTCATGAAGCGGTATGCATTAAATTTTTCTGAAATTTTCCTGTATCTGCGTTAAAAAAATCCAGAGTGTGTAATTTAGGAATTTTTGATTTTTAGGACATCATCAAACGGAAGTTCTCGGTAGAAGAAGGCGACCACATGACCATGCTCAACGTCTACACCTTGTTCGTTGAGGTTCACATTACTTTTTGCGTATTGGAGGGAATAATTATAGCCCATTCCGCCTCAACTTGTCTCATTTTTATTCTGCAAAAAACACCGTTTTTGATGGAATTTCGCTTTTTTTTTTGCGGTGTTGGGAAGAAAAAGTACACAAAAGCCTTTACGAGTTTTTTTTTCTCTGATTTTGAGAAGTGACCGTCTGGAAATCTCAAATTATTGTTTTTGGAGCACATTCTGAAGAGTTTTTAATCAATCTTGAAAAAATTCTAGTTTTTTGATGCCGTATTGAATTTTCCAAAACCAGTTCATCAAGGAAAGAATACAGATATATTAAACCAATTTTTTGCAGAATGGGAAAAACAAAAAATGGTGTAGCGATCATTTTGTCAATTATCGCGGCCTGATGCGGGCGGATAATGTGAGATCGCAGTTGATTCGACTCCTGAAACGATTTGGAATCCCAAGAGTATCCTGTCGAGGACTTATCAGTACGTTTTCCTTTTGAATTTTTTGTCTTTTTTCATCTTTTAAGGTTATTTTGAGCATTTTAGATTCGTCTGAGAACATCCGACAATGTCTAGTCACTGGATTTTTCTCACAAGCTGCAAGGTAAATCTTGAATTTATTGGTGTGAGGTTAGAAGAAGGAAATTTTCGAATAAGTCGGCGATTCAATGCAATTTTGCCAAATTCCAGTCATTCTTTCAGATTTTTTTTATTGAGGGATTTTTTTTAGATTCGCTACTTCTCATTGTTCATTGCCTTTTTTTAGTTTCACTAAATTTTTATACTCTGTTCAAAAATTTTGTTTTTTTCAAACAAGTAGAATTCCTCAATGACCGAAAAAATCATTGAAGAAGGTTCATTGACGTTTGAATTTTTCCCAAGTTACTTCAGGTTTCTTAAATCACCAAAAAGTCTGGGAAAATTTTGGACCACAAGCTCGATTTCCAGCAATCAAGCATCATTAGAAAAAATTTTGAAAAAAAAATGTCATCTTCAAAAATTGAAGATTCCACCACACGGGCAAGTATCTGACAGTGAAGGAAGACTTCCCGTTCAACGTCTACAAAGGGTCGACCATCATGTTCAAGAAGGACTACCCCCAATGGTATACATTACTTTACTGTTCAAAAAGTTTATAAATACGGGAAATTAATTACTTTGTGTTATTTGGGATAACTGTGAGACAAAATTCAGCTTTTTTGTTCCTATTCCTTTCCTTTCATTATTTTTTTCTTTTATCTCTTCGCTTTTTCATTTTTTCCAATGAAAGTGCAGTTGCTGGACTTTTTTCAAAATAGCTTTTTGAGGGCACCTGGAAGCGTCGGCCGCTTTTTTTGAAAAAGGGAAAAATCCAGAAAAATCGCTATTGAAAAACGGTTTTTTTGCGGATTCCTCATTGAGAACGAAAATTTTAATTCTATAGTCAAATAGGAAATATTTTAACCGCAAAGCGACCGCGACGCGTCTAGGCCTTCCGATTGCGATTTTTTTAATCTCACTAGGGAAGTACTCGCAATCGGGAACGGGTTTTGAGTTGAAACTTGAAAGGTTTATAGACCCAAGTCAGAGAACTTAAAAACAAGAGAGAATATCTGCTAAACCCGTTAGAGAACTGAGAAAAAATTAGAAGAAAATGTGAAAATTAGGCCTGAAGTTTTTCAGAATACTGCTTTCTACCTTATTTTTTATATTTTTAATACAATCGCCTTGTATGATCCGGCTATGATAAACTCTAAGAAACTTTTTCCAGCCAAAAAGAAGGAGGAAAGCAAAAATTTGATAATTTTCAAGCATAAACTGTTCATTTTCAAAAAGCTTTTTCCCAGAAACCTGTAGGGTTTAGCAGATAATCTCTCTCGTTTTCAAGTACTCTTACCCGGATCTATAAGCCACCAAAGTTTCAACTCGAAACGGGTACCCGAGTCCGAGTAGTTCCCTAGTCAGTGAACTCCATTCTGATCTTTTACTGCTGGCCAGTGGAAATTCGGTTATTCGCTTTATCACTATGAAAAAATGAAGTTTCAAGAGCTCAAGCAATAAAAACCGCCCATTCCAGGGTGATCTTCACCGAAGTGATGCAAGATTCGATCCGTGACGTCACCGTCATCGAACCGGAATGGCTTTATGAGCTGGCACCACATTATTATGAGTATGGAACGGTAATTCAGTTTAGTTTTCCAGAAAATAAATAACTTGGTAATTTTCAGGAAGGCGAATTAGCGAGAAAACGACAGAAAACAACCTAACCATGTGAGAAATTCCGGTTTTCAATGATCTCTTGAAGCTCTGCGATATGTATATTTTTGTTGATTTTCCACTCAAATTATAAAATAGTTCAAAACTCCGAGATCATGTTCAAAAAGGGAAAAGAAAGGTGGGAAAAATGAGAGTTTTTTTTTTTTGAAATTTGGAAAGGATATCAGAAAAGTTCCTTTGAACTCAGAAATCGTCAAGATCCCGAAGTTTTTTCTTAATATTATCAATAGAGTGCAACAGATCTAGGAAACATATTTTCGAAGCGACCTTTTTCTCTCAGCTACTGCGCTCCATCGAAAGTATTCAAAAATTATTCTCACACGATAAGTTTCTCAAATGAAACTCAAGAAGCGCTTTGATAATCATTTTAGGGATCACTTACTCTACAAAAGTAGATCATTATAAAACTAGGAACTTTTTTTAAATTCCGAATTTCGGTGCGTGGAGATTTTCAGTAAGTTTGTCAAGTTTTTGAGGAAGGTAAATTTTGAGAATCATCCCAACCGCCTAGAAAATCGCAAAGTTTTAGTCCAAAATTTCAAAACGCAAAGAAACCAGAAGGAAAACTGAACGAAGGGTAAACAAAAACAAGAGGAGAGAAACGATTTCCAAATAGAGAAGACATCAAGAAGATCAAATCGATACGGAGAGTAGACAATCGTTTTCTTTTTCTCATCTGCCTATTTTTGGTACCTGCAGTTATCAACCTTCTTCTCAACACTTCTTTTTCTCCTACTTGCAAGATTCTTAACAGTATTCTTTACAATAACTTCAATTTTCGACCTGATTAATCTGAATGTATCACTCAATATGCCGGATGTTATGCTTTCTGTTGGCTTGGAATAGCTCAGAATGTCTGAAAATATTACAAATTGTTCCTGGGTTCACGAATAGTCACGTCTTGTTCAACTATCGACTTGCGGAGACATTAAAGTGAGTCAGAAGCTTGAATTTCAAATTAAACAATCTTGAAACTAAAATTTTTAGGGCTGGGAGAAATATTTTGCTAAAATGAAAAATGGAGAAAACATCCTTGAAAGATAGAAAAAATAGCCACCAAGAATTCTAATTTGATTTGAAAGTAATCTCCATATATAAACGTTGCTTTTAAAAAGGCTGTTTTTGCGGAACGGAGCTGAAAATTATTGAAAAAAAGAACAAGAAGTGTTTGCCTCCTAGATAGATTTTCTCATCATAAAAATATTTTTAATATATCGTTGAGGTAGAGAAAAAAATGAGCCTTTGAAGGTATCTCGGTCACGACGTCAAGATGTGGACACAAATGGAGATGGCCATGCTTGACACTGGAAATAATAAACTTCCTGAGGGCGTCACTGAATACCGTATCCCTATCCATTTCAAGGACACTTTGAAAACTCAGGGATTGAAGGTAAGCTTTCCTAATTTGGGTCAAACGGTATGACTTCTTCAATATTGAAGTTCTTCGAGAAAAAAAAAGAACCTGATCATTTTCTAAAAAGTCGAGGAGCTTTGAATTTGCCCAAAAAACCTTCAGCAACTTTTTTTTAATAAAATTCAGACTCATTGGTTACAAATAGAACTTCGAAGTGTTATGTAGGAAAAACATTTTCTTTTTTTTTGAGGTCTTTCAATCGATGATGTTCTCATCGGGCGACGCCTACGACCTTTGGTGGACTGGCCAAGAATTCAAGGATATGCGAGTTGAAGCTTGCGAGCAGATGCTCAACCACGATCCCAAGGTGAGACTAGGAGTTGTCTTTTTTTGGAAAAGTCTTCGAAAAAGTTTTGAGAAAACGCTGAAAATCAGCTGAAACATACCTTACCTTGGTTAGAGAATCCTTGTAATAATATTTTTCAGCTCATTCTCAATAACTCGAAAAGATTTCTGCTAATAACTTCAGAACACACTAAGAGCTCAAAATATATTGTTGATAAGTAAAATACTTTCAAATTTCTCGTTTTCTGATCAAAAGTATGTTCTCCGCTTGAATTTTAGTCGTGTTATGGAGCCTCGTTACCCTCAAATTATTCTTTTTTTCACTCTGAATGATAGCTTTCGTACATCCAACTCTACTAGAAAGCATGAGGTGGGAAAAATTATCTTTGAGGGTAATCAGGGTGTCAATAAATGCCTAAACTTTTTTTCTGCTCCTTACTTGTTAGTGTGAAGTTCAACAAGCTATAAACAAGTCATTACTCAGAAAAAAGTAGTTGATTCATAACAGACTTCAGGTCTACGAAGAATTCAGCCGCGGCGGTTTCGACGTCGCCATCACACACTTCCACGACATTTGCCCCCTGGCGATCGCCAAGAAAATGGGCGTTCAGAGGGTTTTCGTCCAAATATGGAGCTTCTTACCAAAAATAGTACATTGAAGGTGATCTGGATCACTCATGGAACTTCGATCTACGATTTCGCGGCAGTTCAACTGGGCCTTCGGACACAGGCGGCCACAGTTCCGCATCCACTTTCTTCGGGTTTTTTTTTTTCTCTGGAAGTTCCAAGCAAAAATTGTCTTCTATTTTTTTCTTACACTGAAAAATCAGACTATTGAGCCTTGAGCCTGAATTCTAAGAGTTTGAAAATGAAACTCTACTAAAACTTAGCTAGAACTATTGTCTCATCAGAATATTTTCTGAATACAAAGTCGTACTTCTGAACCAGATTCACTATGCAATTTTTCACGCTGATTTGTGAGATGAAACTTTAAATTATGAAATACTGGAAATTTAAATTTGTTTTCCCCTTATTTGTTCGTATTCTCTGATAAAAGAACTTTAAAAAAAAAATGTATTCCAGCTGGATTTTCTCTATCCTTCTGGGACCGAGTGCAGAATCTTCTCTGGCACATGTCTCTCTTGGATTTCGTGAACCTGCCGCAGAATTTACTCGCAGATGAGAACGATTTCTACAGAAGTAAGAAATTTTCTTACTAAAAGGGAAAACTTGAGAGATTTTTTAGTCGCAGTTCATGGCAAATACGTCTTGAACCGAGAAAGGGATGAACCCTAGAGTGGTCCCTATGGGAGTTAGGGGAATAACAACCCCTGTTGTATACAAAAAAGTGTTCCCTTTAGGGTTCTAGGGTCCGACCCTTTAGCCCGTAAGGTTCAAGCGGTCCCTATATGGGTTAGGGGAAAACAGCCCCTTTAGTGAACAAGAAAGTGGTCTTTCAATTTTCTGATCTATGTTAGAGTTAAAAAGTTAATTTTTCAATCCTTCTTTTTGTGAGGGAAAAGAGAGCGCAGACAGGTCAGACTGTTTAAAAAGTGGAGAATATCATAATTTGTTTCAGATCTAATGGGTCCTGAACATCCTGACCTCTGGGATCTCTGTGGAAACGTTGAATCTCTCCTTATCAATGGCGAAAGAATGCTTGATTTTCCCAGACATTTGCCAGTTCATATCGCTTTCTCAGGAGCTCTAGGGCTTCCTAAGGAAGGTCTCGCACATTAGTGACTTTAAAACATCATTGTTCTCATTTGTCTAGGCAAGAAAGCCGTTGAGCCTTGGCTAGAAGACATTCTAAACCTCAAATCCGATGGTTTGATCGTTTTCTCCCTGGGAACCGTTTCCAATACCACCAATATGCCTCAACAAATGACGGTAAAAGTCTCAAAGTTTCTATTTTTCAAATTTTAAACCCAGGACTCTTTCCTCGGAGCCTTTGCGAAATTATCAACCTACACAATTTTATGGCGAATGGAGAAACATGTGCCGGGAGTAGAGAAGCTTCCACACGTGAAAATTGTCAAATGGCTGCCACAGAAGGAGATTATGAGTTGGAACCGACAGAGAAGTAGAATTTGAGTCGATTACTTCAGAACATCCAAAGATGAAGCTTCTCATCGCTCATGGAGGCTACAACTCACTTTTGGAAACTTCTCAGGTACTGATAAATCTAAAGTTAACTCATGTTTTTCTTAAATATTTTTAGAAAAAAATTTCTTTGATTTCGATGTGAATTTTTCTTGAAAATTAGGACATTCTGCACGTTGAGATTCTCGAAATCTTTTTGGTACTTCAAGAAGGTTATTAGCGAGTTCCCATTCCAAAGATGATTATAGCCGTTCTGAAGATTCAAATAACACGATTTAAAATTTTTAAAGAACATTTTGAAATTCACTTTCTTTCGTAAGATATTATTAACATAATTAATCCACAGGCTGGAGTTCCTGCCGTTCTGATGCCATTATTCGCCGATCAAAAGATCAACGCCAAAAGAGCTCAACGATTTGGAATCGCCACTGTTTTGGACAAGCTCAATTTGACTCCAGACAATGTCTATGGAGCTATTAATGAGGCTCTTACTGATCCGAGGTGAGCATTTTTTTTTCAAGAAAATCCTTTTTGGGTTAGGTAGGTTAGAAGATTGAATTTAAAGATATAAGAATTTGTTTTTTTAATAATCTAATCAATCAATCACATTTTTTCTTTTTAGTCCCCCTGACAAAAATGGGGCTTTTCCGATTTTTCACTTGGATTGAGTATCATGGTAAGCTAGAAAAAAATTATTCCTCTTCCTTCATTTTCACCAACTTTCTCATTTTTTACTCTATTTTCTGTAAATAATAATGCCTTATTTTTTTCCAGCTATGCGGCAAACGCGAAAAAGTTATCATCGATGCTGACGGATCAACCGGCGACTGCTCCATTTTCATCCCTTCAGTACTCCCTTAAACTGGCCACGGCCAAAAAACCGCAGTATTTCAAACTGAAAGGTCGCGACGTTTCTTTTATATCTTTCCATTCTCTTGACATAATTACAGTTATTATTGCCGCTTTCATTTTTGTTATATCTTAATTTCCTGTATTACAGAAAAATTGAGGTTTTTCTTATTATTTTTTTACTTCGCAATAAACAAATCAGAAAAATTCAACAGAATGTACAAAGAGGATGGTGTTTTAAGATCTTACTAACAGAAAAAAAAGAAAGTTCAGCTTCAAAGCCCTAATATGACACATCTTTCACGATTTAAAGTTCAACTATCACACTAAAATTTGTAAAGTTCGCTCGAAAACTCTGGAACTCTTAAAAGCAAATTTCACGAATTTCTGAAAAGAAAGCCGTGAGTATTCTTAATTAACCTGCGTCTTTGAAAATTCCAAATAGTTTTAGAGCAAAATAAAAGGCTTTACTGGGAAAAAACTCTAGTTTCCACTGAAGAGGCCCCTCGAGGACTACGTGGAGGCGACACTAAAAAGGCCACTAAAGCCACCTCTTGAGAAACCACTATTTTGCGTCTCAATGGACACTTTTTAGTGGTCTCTTAGTGCCGCTTAGGATCCTAAAGACGTCACTGAACTTCAATCACTTAAGAGGCCACTAATTCGTCCACTAAAACGCCAAAACCTTAAAAAGGCCACTGAAGTTTTTCCCAATAAAAATCGAAATCACTAACAGAATCATCAAACTCAACAAAAATGTACAAAACAATCACCTTCTTCAAGATTTCTCGAAGGTTAAAGAAGAATCGTTTTCCACTTGGATCCCTCGACGGACAGTTTCTCCCTTGGCACGCAATATTTCTTCAATGTTTTTACCCTGAATTTTCGACAAAAGAAATTTTTTTCATTCTGAAGGAAAAACCTGAAAATCCTGGAACCATCCCAAATTATCCGCGATAATGTGATGATTATTACACCCGCTGCAAGTGACTATCACAACGCCTTTTTCATACGAAGACTTTGAAAATCGTTTCGGTCCCTAGAAACTATTTTCAAGCATTTTTTCTTTGAAATAGATAAACCTCACGAGATCCGCACGATTTGCAAGTATAAGAAAGGGATAAAGTTGGCGTTTGAGCGCCGATTTCCGTGGAAAAATGACGCAAATAGGCTGGTTTGAAGCCCTGGAACTATCAAAATGATGAGAAAAAAAATTTTGAAATGCAAATCTCAAGAGAACAAACTGAAAATTCTTTGAATCAAAAGATGTAAAAAAAAACTAACCGATGTCTTATAGAAGTTCGCTACACGAAAGTTCATTGAAACTACAGAGAAAAGTGATCGGAAAGGCATTCTGAAAAATATATTATAAAACCAGTTCAACTCTAAAACAAACGTCTTTGTATATTTCTACTTCATGCGTTTTGAGAAAAATCAAAAGCGCAAAAAAACGGAAGAAAAATCTAATAGAACTCTTAAACAAGAAAAAAAAGAAACAATAAAGATCACATAGCCAAAAAAAATTTTGAAAAAAAGTTTCGTCATTGCGTAAATCGTACGCGAATTTCACATACACGCGCGCGCCAAACTGCATACTCCGAGTTTTGAATGGGCTCTTTTTTCTGCAATATTTTAGCTGTAATTACGATTTTTCTGAAGATTTCATTGTGAGTGACAGCAAAGAAAAAAAAATTGATTTAATCAAATTGTTCATTGCATCTGAAAAGAATATATGATTTCTTTTTTTCATGAAATATATTTTGAAAAAGATGTTTCAATTAAATAATCTCGTTTCTTTGTTCGCATATTGAGCGAGGGAGAGAACAACAACTTGCACTTTCTGTTTTTCAGCCTCGTCACCGAACTCTGAAAGTTCTTGGCGGAGGAAATGCACTCAATTTCCTCGATAGATTGCCATTACCAATCTACTTCAAATCGTATACTCAAAAAGAAAAATTCCCATGATGTTTAAATCTTTCACGGTTTAAGAGGCGATGAAAAAAAGTCGCAAACACTTCCTAATCTCTTCCCACACGTTATTTTTTTTTCAGGATCAGGTGCAGACAAAGTTAATCCCGAAGAAGCCAGGAGGAAGCATTAATAGTACAAAAACAAGCGGGATGGGATTTGCAGGAGGATTTTTTAGATAAAGACACCTATTTTTGTTCCAGATTCAACTTGCAGATCGGTGAACAATGAGTCATAGGAGTTTTGCAAGCAGAAAAGGCGAAAACAACCTTTGAAGATGAACCAGCGGAATAATTGCAAAACAGAAGCAAAGGTCGCAGCTCTTGCAAATTGAAAAGAATTTTTTTCAAAGTTTTGTGGAGCGCCAAACATGGTTCCTTTGGCGTTTGATTTCGAAAAAAAAATTGTATTGACTGGAACAGTAATGTCGAGTTCAAAGTAATACGCGTAACTCAAAATAACTGTTAGATAGTGAAAAAGATAACTAATTTTTGGAGAGCCATAGATGGTTTCAAATTTTGCGGAAATTACTTTGATCACGCCGTTAGAATGAAACGGCAAAATAATTTTTAAATGATAGAAAAAAATTTTGAAAATCATTTGAAATTAAAAAATGGCGGTGAAGTTGCACACTTGTGCTCCATGGATAATTATTGAGAATTTCTCCTCGCTCGTCTTTTTTTATCTTTTTTTATTTTTTTATATTTAAAAGTTTCCCGTTCAAGGAAGTTTCCCCTGTCGCGCCATCTGCTCTATTTCAAAACTTCATAACCGATTAACTGAATTTATGTCCAGGTGTTTCTTCCCTTCCCTTGTTTCCGCTTAGTCCGTATATGTTTTTTTTTCTTTCTCTCAAAGTTTAGTTCGAAAATTTTCAATAATGAATCCGGGTTCAGAGACCGAATTGAAATTGCTTTTTTGCACTTTTTATCATCATTTCACTCTAGCGAAAAATAAATTCTTTTTTTTAGAGCGCTGTTTTTCAACCGTGTAAAGCACTTTTTTTCGCTTCCCTAACCTAATCATTTGGCACTTGGCCAATCGTTTTTTTCTCTTTTTTTCGTTTCTCATTTCAGTCGGCTCTCGTTCGCTTTCTTTGGCTTTCGGATTTTTCCGATCATTAATTGAAAATATTCAAAACGTTTTTAGATCTTATCATGCTAGGGATTATCTTCTAATTGGAAGCTGATCACACAAAAGTTGAAATTCCAGTGAAAAAATTTTAGAGTGGGTACCAAAAAGGCTCATTTTACTAGTAATAAAAAGTGGGATTTTAAGGAATGCGGCAGCTGAATTTTATTCAAAAACTTGTACACCACCAGGAGTAATCTATTTTTTTCTGTTTATTTCCGGCAAAGTACTAAGATCGGGAAGAGCCGCCTCGTCGCCGATGCATAAAACATTAGGGCGGTCTAGACGTTGGTTCTCGAAAAGGGAAAAAGTCCTCTTCCGGAACTGAACATCTCCAACTCATCAAAGAGCAGTGGAAAACGTTCAGATGCGCATAAATAACCGGAATATTTGTTGAGTGACGCGAAATTGTTGTCGGGGACCGTCTAGACTTCGTGATCGGCTCGTCATCATGTTTTTTTTGAGTCATAGGCGCCTTTTTTCATAACATTGTCGCCACCTTAAGATTTTTTGATGTTGGAAGATTTTTTCGGTTTTGAAAGAACTTATATTCTTCGTTTTCAGAGGAGAAAACGCTGGACAGGTTAAATATCATTGAAGAGACCTCCTGACAAAGAAGGTAATTTATCTAAATTTTTAGAAATTTAGAGAAAATTTACAAAAAAACTTTTTGATGTTTCAAATTAATTTTTCTGAAGTCTCAACTTGAAGAAGTGGATACTTTTTGTGAAGACTAGTCCAGAGAATTCCAAATTTCCATCATCAAATATTGTTCTGACCAAGGTTCAGAAAACATCATTGAAAAGTTTTGTTACCTTTTGACATTTAGAACTTCTTACTGAGTCATAAAAATCAAATAAAACTTGTATTTAAGTAACAGGAAGATTGAGAAGGCTATCCGTGTGGAAACTGGCTTTTTCTTCCGTTTTTCTAGTAGGTGTAGTTCAATTGATTTCAAAAAAAGATTAACTTAGGTTCTAAGGAGTGAAAAATTAACATCAGTACCCATCCGCGGCTCTTATTATAACTTCCAAAAGGGCTTGATTCAGAAATGATCAAGGAAATTATTAAAGAGACGTTTCGACCTTTTTTCCGGTCTGGCGATAGGAAAATATGATAATCTGATCATGGCGTCAGTGCGGAAGTGTACTTTTTGGAGTTTATATATAAGATTTCAAAAAGCAAAGTCATGGATGACTAAGGGTTTATAGTGAATTAGCCAATATCATTATTCACGATTTCGAAATCATATTTCCGAAATTTTGATCTAGGAAAGCAAAAACTGAACTTCATTTTTTTTAAACGATTTTTCAATGATTAATTCAAAAAAAAAAAACAGTCGAAACAGAGGAAAAGTGAATTTTGGGTTGTTCCTAGCCCTCTTTAAGTATTAGAGTTTCAAAATTTGGAAAAATTCAAAAAGTAGAAAAAAAGTTTTTTTAATATGAGTCCAAGTTCACCTGAAAAGATAGTTTTTATCATTTTCACCTAGTTTCCGAAAAATAGGTTAATAAACCAACGTAAACACCATCATATTGATGAAAGTTATAATCTGCATCTTTTTTTTAAAGTTCAAACTGGATATTTCAACTTTTTTTCGATTGATGAGCTAATAGAACAAGATCGAGTCGAAGAACTCGTCTTTGAACTATTTTTGACCTCTATTTTCCTGTTTTGTTTTTTCTGATTCATTCTAGAATTGCGCTTCTTATCAGTATAATTTGCATTTTTATCAACTTGATTTAAACCCCATTTTCCTACTTTTGAAGTAAATAATTTCTTTTTGACGAATTCCTGAGGTCAAAGATTCCTTCCACCCGTCCATTCGAATGTTTCATGTTCGAATGTATGCAAAGAATTATTAATAACGGTCCCTTGCCAAGAACGACGTTACTTTTTCCCGTCTGGCTGAGCCGAGTACCCAGTATTTATCAACACGACGTAAAATTGCCCAAAAGTCCGGTGGTCCAGACAGACGTTCTCTGAAAAAAAGCCAAAGAGCTCTCTCGTGAAACGTCCGTTTGAAAGGGTGGGGCAGACGAAAATAAACGAGGTCCGTCTGGGCGCACCCCTGCAGCTGAAAAAGCAGGAGGAAAATGCGTCAGACGTCTGGCTACTCGTTGGGCTCACGGAGGGCAAGGAAAACATGTCTGAGAAGGAGATGAGCCGGAGATCAGCCCCGAACTTTCCGGCTCTCAAGTGTAATTATTTTTCGGAATCGGGATTTTGGAACAAAATAGCTTCCAAGCTTGGAAAGCTTTTTCATCTTTTTGAACACCGTGGTTGCATTTGGAATGGCTCTGACGACGTGGTTACTACTGTTAGAGTGAAAAACGGCTTTCGTAGGGGAAATTTTTACAGGTTAATTTTTAACGCATTGCGGCCACAACGCCTTCGAGCCATTCCAAATGCGGCCAAGATGATCCATGTCGTGGATCATGAAAAAGACAAATTTTAGTAGGATTTTAGTAATATAATGGTAGTTAAAAAACGTTTCAAACGCGCTTGGAACCAGACTGCGAAAGTGACTGAAAAATATTCGATACAAGAGCTTTATTATCGTTTTGAAACAGTTATTCGGTGTTGCGTCTGAACTTCAAATTTTTTTTTTTGAAAATAGGTAAGGAAAATTTTTAGCTGGTACCGCTGTTAGGAAAATACTTCAAACAAGATCATAATTGTTTTTTTTATTACCAAAATTTCTCTGTGAATTATTTTTTTGGACTTAAATTTCTTCTAAAGCCAAAGAGAAACACTCCAGAATCTTACTTTTGCTGCTCACCTATTAAAAATAACTTTGAGTGCAACTATAATCCCATATTTAGCTTCTCCCACTACCCAATAAGGAATTTCTAAAAGAACTTCCGGATAAATATAGGCTTTTTTTCCCACGCTGATCACAATCTCCTTGCTACTATTTGGGAAGGTGTACTAGGTTTTGTTCAACTTTTTTATGGAGCGTGCGAAAAATGAAGGAGAAATACAGTTGAGAAAGGTTCTTTTGGTTCATTAATGTTCAGACATGAACCATGGGAGAATTCAGTCTCTAAAAATAATTGTTTAGCCTTTTGATTTTCGTCTCCTTAGCAGTTTTTATGAGACAATGTGGAAGATTATTAGCATAAAACCGGGGTAAACGTAGTTTTAAGTTTCCTTTTTTGATTTTTGGTTTTTGGCAATTTTTATAGTTCTGAAGTCAAGAATTTGGGTCTAAAAGGGCA